CAATGATATCCATAATTCAATCCTTCACTGCTCCCATCACCTTTACGCCGATGACTCCCAAATCTACCTTTCCTTCCATCCCTCCGAGTTGCATGAAGCGTTTGCCAAAATTCAAGAAGACTTGAATCGGATCAGTGCCTGGGCAAACTTAAATGGGTTAAGGTTAAACGCTGCAAAAACTCAAGCCATTGTCATTGGTTCCAAACCCCTTCTCAGAGCCAATACCAACATACCTATACTGTACCTAAATGACCATCCCATTACCTTCACCTCCTCAGTAAAAAACCTAGGCATTTTCATAGACCAAACCCTATCCTGGAAACACCATATTGCTCACATTACCCGACAGTCAATTGGTACCTTGAAACTATTCCATCGCTTCCGCCATCTCCTACCCATCTCCACACGTAGACTCCTAGTAACTTCCCTCATCTTCCCCCACCTTGATTACGGCTGCGTGGTGTACGGTGGCCTCTCGGCAGAACTCGGGGAGAGACTGAAAAGAATTATGAATGCCTTCGTAAGATTTGTCACAGGGGCCCTGAGGTATTCCCGTGTTTCGCACCACTATGCTGAATTAGGATGGCTCTTCCCTTCCTTCCGAAGACAATATTTCCTAGGCACATTCCTTTACCAAATAATCAATAGTCATCGTCCGTCCTACGCATACAATCTCCTACAATTCAAATCATCTATCCACACCCTCTCCACAAGATCGATCTGCATCATTTAAACATTCCTTCGTTGTCCGTTCCACTGCATTCTGGAATTCCATCCCACTAAAAATCCGCCATGCATCATCCTTATCCACCTTTAAAACCCTCTTATTCCAATTCCTCTTCACAATCCAATCAGACGCTGGTTAAATACATACTATGTTATAAGGATTTAATTTTCTTTAGACATTATTTTTTTTCTCTTATTTTTTATTGTTTTATTCTGTGTTGAACGTGAATTTTCATCACCACTCACTAAGCATTGTGAGTAGATAAAATTTGTTTTCCTTAAGTTCTAATTTGTTATTCATGGAATGTATTTCAGTGAAATGTATTTTATTTCTAATTATCTTCAACATACTTCTCGCTATGTGTATATATACTTTACTCGTGTATATATACTTTACTCGTATGTGTATATACTTTACTTATTTTCTCTTCTCCTAATCTTTACGCATAATCACTTAAATATCTTAGGGAACATATGTATATCATTATTTGTTTTTTTATATATTTTTTTGTTTTAGTTTTTACAATTTCTTTCCCTACATATTAACAGTTATTATTATTTTTTTAAATTTTTATATTCCATCACTACAATGCTTTACCTATAAAATAGATTTTACTTTCCTTTATAATTTCATTGAGTGATTATTATGCAATTATTTTAGCTCCAATATTGTAGTACTAAACCCCTATTACCAAACTGTCATCGTTAATTTATCCTAAGAGCTTAATTAATACTTAATGTATTACATGTATTTTGTCATTATTCATTGTAATAAGTCTTTTGACCAGATTTGTAGTTAATATATATGAACAATACTGTTATTCTAAAGGAACCTAGTCCCAGAATAAAGATGATTTTTCTATTCAAAAAATTAAAAAAAAACTTCTCCCACATTTTTCGCTATGATTTTCCCGTCTCGATCTTTAAGTTACTGGTCTAATATTCTTTTAATCAGCTGTCATTTATACGGGTAGCAAGTCCAAGTGGCAGACTCTCATTTTTTTAATATAAATGTTAAAAATATGCGTCAAAAGTTTTCATCAAATAATGTAGATTTTTTTCTCATGGGCTCTCGGACTATGAAGGATCTAGGGTTCAATACTTTCTAAGACAGTACTGCTTTAAGGCCAATGGTTGTCGGAGGAGATTATCAGGCTGAGATCACACTCAACCCTTAGATTTTCTGATTAATTAATTAAGAGTATCCACTATAAAGAGGCGGCCCCAGGGTCGATCCAGAATAAATAATTAACTAACATCTCAGATTCTAGTCTGTGACCTTGAACTTAGAAAGTTGGTGTCTTACCCACTGAGGTATCCCATATTCCTGCAATATATCATTATCAAATATATGAATTATATCACAACAAAATTTGAAACAAAATCATTAGGTGAAACGAAATTTTAGGAAAAAGTAAACAAATTATGATAAATTTATTTGTTCATTGATTTAGCCAGATATCTATCCTTTCATGACAGACTCCAGTCCCGTCCAAATCCACTTGTTTCCAGTTTTGCTTCCTCCTCAATTCCTGATAATCCTCCTAAGATTCTAAAAAGAAAATTGCCTCCTGATCTTATTTAGAACCACAGAACCACAGGCGGATCTACGGGGGAAGGGGGGGGGGCTTTCAGGCTTTTTTTTTTTAATTAATCATTTTTATACTTATATGAAAAAAAATCTTTCGGGCTGAAGCCCCCCCCCCAAAATTAAATCCTGGATCCGCTAGTGCTTAGAACTGTTTAGAGAGTGCTACTATTGAATAGAGTTTTCACAATTCTGTTCATGTCATTATTCTTGATTTGTCCATATTTACTGTTTACATTTATTTAATACCGTTGTAAATTTCAATAAATGAATAATAAAAAAACATTTACTTGGAAAAAATATATTAATTTTAAAAACTATTTGGATTTGAACTTTTGTGTATGTTTTCATATTAAAACCATAATGTAAAAAAATAATATTGTATAAATCTCCAATTTCTTAACTTACAGACATTCATATTGGTTTTTTATTCAAATTAACTTTATGACTGAAAACGTTCACCACAATCTTTGCAGTTTAAAGTCGACTTTCAAATCTTTTAACTTTATGAATTCGCAAATATTGGTGGGGATGATATCACAAGCCTAAATTAGTGAAGTAGGTAAAATACTCTGCTTCACATAGAAGGTTGTCCCATAGATTGTAGGCACCCGGGGCGATATTATACCAGGCACGGTTTCACATCCTTGTAAATCGGCCAGAACATTATTTCTTCATTTTGAAAATTATACTTATTATACCTAGATATATTTCTGCACTTCTACCAATGACCAATAAATTTCGAATCTCTAACCAATTTATAATTTTTCTAACAACTGGTTAGAAACAATATCTACTTCATAACTTGTGTATAAAGGTAACAGGAACAAAGATAAAAAGGAATGAATTAGAAAGCGGCAAGCGGACCGAAATACAGAAAATCTTTCAAACAATATTAGACATATTCTTCATATTTTTGTTCCTAATCCGTGGTGCTCCCTTGGCAGTGGTGCTGTGGTATTGAATACAGACAATTGATAAATTAATAAACTAAATAGCAGCATAAATTCAATTGGAAGGCAACAGCCCAAGATCTAACGTTTTTATAAAGATTAAAAGTGTTTTAATAATCAATATCCATTTATTTAATATTGGGTTGATGCAAAAATAATGCAGGTTTTAATATTCATTGAAAATACGCCTTGTGCTTCACTCCAACTCAAATAAAATAAATAAAAACCTGTACTACTCCAACCCATGAAGGGTCTTGGGTTCAGAACTTTATAAGGAAGTGCTGTTTCTTGGTTGTGCAAAGAGGTGATTTGATTGAGATCACACTTAACCGCCAGGTTTCCCCCCCTTAATCAATTATTTATTTAAGGGTACCCAACTTTATAGAGGCTGGGTGGGCCCAAGGAATGGTTTCCCAACCCTGGGTCAACGAGACAGAATAAATAATTCAACTGCCATAACCCGGGATTTAAATCTGAGACTTAAAGCACTAGAAGTCAGTATCCTACCATTGAGCTAATCCACTCCCTAATTTCTATCAAAATCGATTCATTTTCAGCCAACATTCAACAAGCTTTTTTATCCCAACAGAAAATAAATTGGATCTCTGGATGCTATGAACTTACAAAAGAATTTTCAATGAAAACCTCATTTGGAAAATGTCTCATGTGCAAAAGGTTGTCTAATTAAATGAAAAAACGAAAGTCAGTGGAAGAGAGATCAGGTGAATAAGGTAAGCGTTGCAGAGTTTCGTAGACCAACTCATACAATGTGTGATCTGGCATTATCATGGAGAAGGACTGGCCCCTTCTGATTAATCAATACTAGGGAAAGATGCTGCAATTCCCGATCCATGTCATCAATTTCTTGACAATACTTGTTGGCAGTGATAGCCTCACCACGAAGAAGAAAGCTGTAGTCGATACCTCAACTGTAGACCAACTTTTTTCTGGAGCAGGTTTCGCTTTGAGAAATATCTTGGTTGTTCTCTGTCCATGAATTGACCACAATGCCTTCTTTTGTCCTATAAGATCCATTTTTCATCACAGGTCACTACGACATCAAGAAATGCATCGTTTTTATTGTGTGCCAGAAGTATGGAAAATATTTCAAAGCGGCGATTCTTTTTGGTAGTCGTTTAATTGGTGTGGAACCTAATTGGCCAACTTGCATTTAAGAGGTGTACAAGAGTGGATTGGTTCACCCCAAGTTCTGCGGCCATTTATCATCTGGTTTTGGTTGGATCCTATTCCACTATTGATTTCAGTTCTTCCAAGTCGAAATCTCCTCTGTGAAACCAAATCTGGAACCAACGCTGCACAGTACATTCATTAATAGTAGCCCTGACCTCATACTTCATTATTGTTACGAGCAGTTTGCACAGTGCTGTACCATAATTTAAATTAGTAAAAATAAATTTGTCGAAAATCGCACTTCAACATTTTCGATTCAAAACCTTTAAACGTACTGAAGAACATGATTTTATTGATTAAATTCTTGGTGACAGTGTATTATATAAGGATTATTATAATATGTAAAGAATGAATATTTAGTATTTGCTTCAAATACAAAATTGGTATTAAAACATTTCAATGACGGAAATCTGCATTATTTCACAATAACCCAATAGTATAATAATTTCTGAAATATGAGTATATTTGAACTTTATACATTTAATTCAACCTATGAAAGTGTACATGAAATTAGGATTAAGTTTATAAATAATAATTATATTATTCTTATTCTCAGGTAAAGGTGAGAAAAATCATCCAATGTAATGACAGCTACCTCTTCATTGTATGACAACTATCAGGACATTCTTAAAAAAGATTTAAAGTTTCCCATTTACCAACTATTTTAACTACTTCTATCATCATAATAGAAATGAATACAACAGAATTACCAGACATTAATTCGACTCTCATAAAAAATATCCACGATTTTTTAAAAACTGGAGAACAACAAATCGAATATAGTCCAAACAAGGACATAGTTCTTCTGCTGGGTAACACTGGATCTGGAAAGAGCACACTGACTCAATTTATTTCTGGAAACGCTCACAAGCTCTTGTCTCAAGAAGTAGAGGAAGGAACAGGTGAATATGTGATTGTTGACCAACAAGATAAAATAAGTAGTGCCTCTACTATAGTGTCTCAAACAATTTATCCAGATTTAGTAGAAGATGCAACGACTAACACAATTTATTACGACTGCCCGGGTTTCAGTGATACCAGGAGTGCAGCCCATGAGATAGCTGCCACATACTTCATTAAAAAAGTAATCGATTCTGCTAGAGCTGTCAAGTTAGTTTTTGTAGTGAGCCACAATTCAGTCACCAAAGGAGCAGACAGGCAAGACTTCATCCTGATGCTTCAACACGCCACAGAGTTCATAAATCAAATAAAAAAGTTTAAAACAAGTATAGCCCTCGTCGTCACGAAAATAGAAAACAGATATGTTGAAAACAAGTTAGTGTCAGACGAAAAAGTTATTAAGGCTATTGGTCACTATCTAGAGCAGGCGGAGCGAGACATAGATGAGCATCCAGAGATGGTAACCACAGCTGGCAAGGCCTCTGACACCAAAGAAAAAGTTTTGTATCTCTTGGACATTTTCCGTAATAGAGGGCAAAATGAACAAAACACGAGAATTGGAATTTTCCGAAAGCCCAATGAACCAGGATTACTGAGTGAAATAGAATTGATGAAGAAAGGCAAAATTTCATTAAAAAACATGATTAATAAAAATATTCAATTCGTAGAAGGAAATGATCATGATTTTGGATACACAGTTTCAGCAAAATCCAAAGTTCATATCAGTGGTTTAGCAGAAGAAATAAACAGAACTATTATAAAAGAATTACTCAACATCAGAAATGAGATGGAAAAATATTGCATTGGCGAGGAAGAAAAAAACTCAGAACTGGAACATTTGAATTTCATTTTTCAAAAAATGCATGAATCTTTCTCAAGAATACAAGACAATGCTATAAAGGACATAATAACTCCTGAAATGTTTATAAATGAAATCGACAACAATATTAAAGATTTAAAAATTAGCATTCCCAATCATCACATTGAAACAATATGGAAAGAAGAAGGTTATATTTATTTTCTTAATCTTGTCAGCAATACATCAATAAAAAATCACAAATCATCTTTATTGGCGGCAGGTCTTTCAAACCTGACAGAGTACCTGAGTGAGACACATTCATTTTACAGTGTTCTCAACAGTATCTACCAAAGGTTATCGGCATTCGACATACAAAAAAAGAGAAGCATATATAGTACAATAGATATAAACACACTAGATGACTTATTCAAATCTCCTATCTTCATTGATATTGAGGATATCTTCAAAGAAAACAGTGGTATCAAGAAAATGAAACTTGACAAAAGGAAATTGATTTTATTGAACAGAGTGTTAGACGAGACCCTGAAATATCAACTTGAATTGACCAGTCCTGAAATTGATGTACTAGTAGTAAAAGGTGTGAATGTTATACTGAGTGAAGTTAGTGAACTGCTGAGTAATAAAAGCATAAAATTCCTTGGAGTTTATGCATTACATAAAGTATTTATAGACGAAACGTTAGATTTAACTGGCAGGGAAATACAAATGGCTATTGTAGCCCCAGTATGGGAAATTGTAGGAAATCAAAGCATAATATTAGATGGAAAGCCAGGGACAGATTATAGTCCCCAAAAGGCTAGAAATGGAGAATGGAACGCAGAGCAGTTACATAGTGAAAAAGGATTTGACGGAGAACCTGGGGGACCAGGCGGACCTGCTGGTAACTTTTTAGGAATAGGAAAATACTACATAAATGAGCATTGTCTACGTATCTCGGCCAACGGAGGGAAGGGTGGGAGGGGCCAGGATGGTGGTGATGGATCAAAAGGGAGTAGCCGTTGGTATCCATACTGGATGAATAAAAATGGTGGCAATGGAGGAAATGGCGGTATTGGTGGTTATGGAGGTCCAAAAGGGTATATATACACAATAAAACTTGGAACAGAATTTGGAGTGGTTCAAGCAAAACAATCTGCTATAGATGGATGTCCCGGAGAAAATGGCAGAGGTGGCAATGGTGGGAACGGAGGAAGGCACATAAATATCATTCCATATAGAAATTCATGGGCTGAATCGGGGTGGACTGGAGAGTGCGGTGGAAATGCGTGTAGAAGGAGTAATACGTGGCAATTAAAAGCAAACTTGATAGATCTTAGCAAAATTAGAACAGAATATAAAAAATATATGCTAAGCAATATAAACGATAATCTACAAGAAAAGTTTTTAACGAAATTTCTTGTAGAATTAGATAATAACTATACACCCATCACACAAGCAACGATATGGTACAGAGGAGATATCATCAAATCATTAAAATGAAGAGTTCTGAGGAAGGGACAAGCACAGGAGATGAACTGGGGAGCAGGCAAGTTTCCTGAGGTACTATAGTAGAAGTATTATATAATATACAACTCTTAATGATTTAAAAAAAAAAAGTTACTAATTTTAACATTATAAATGCAATATAATTACATGATAAAAATATGCTAACAGAATGATAATAACAAACCAAAAAAAACTTCTACTTAGTAGCCATAGAACTTACTTTATTTATAAAAATGATGAGAATTTGGCATGTAAACTTAAAATTATATATTTTGAACCATATAAAAACAATACATATACGGTATATACATTGTATTATATAACATCTTTTCTCTCTTTGCCTCATACAATAACCCTGTACAAGAGTCTTGTATTTATTTATGTTTACATGCTCAATGCATAAAGGATAACACATGTATCAATAATTTAATTTTATTTAATCAATAAAATATTAATATTAAATAAAAGACAGAATTCAAAATGATAGATCAATCAAATTATCATAAAATAAATACCAGTAATATGTAACCACTTCAGTTAAACAGTTGTTAATTCATTGTTGATTAAGGTTGATAAAAAAACATTCAACTTTATTTCATAAAATATTTTTACGAATAAATGTAAAAATCATGACTCCAACTTTTAACTTACAAAATTATTTTCTTGGTAGATTTTATCCTCTTACAAACAATAGTTTCTTCATTTCCTTTTTGGTTCCTTTTAATGGATGGCATTGCAGGTTTGTCATTCACCTCCTATAAATATATCAATTATATGTTATCAATAAATTTTGAATGATTTCCAACAGAAATATCTAATTAAGTTTTGTTGTCAAATGCAAAGTTTAAAAAATTAGAAAAAGCTACAGTGTCTGAAAAAAACAACATTGATATCTTACTTATTACATAATTATATGTCAAATAATCACCAATGAATGTAATTTTATTGTCTTATCACTTAATAAAATTAAAATCATATTAGTTAATTGACTTACTTCAATTCTTGATCGATTGCTTTCTTCAATAGATTGTGGTAATTCACAAGTTTCAGAGCACAATGGTCGCACTACCCTATTGAATAAACAAAACAATTGCTCGGTAATTTCTATCAAAATATAATTTTTAAATATACTTTTAAAATACAAATACTTATGTTTTAATAATACCTTTTATTAAGAATCTCACAACTAATATTTCTTTATTAACATGTTTCACTAAACTGTTTCTGTTTTTTCACAACATAACTACCAAAAAAAACATTTCATGCTATAATTTTAAAACTTACGAGGAGGTCCCACAAGTTTCCTGAATAAGGAGAGTGAGTGGGTGAACCAGTTCTTTGGTCGAAGGTATTATGTGTGAGAAATAAGGCAGTTGTGAGTGGATCCATTTAAATTTTTAATAAAACGAAAGGAAAAAAGGAAAAAGTGTGGCTGTTAAAATTTGTTTTCTGTTGGAATTAATGCCTGCAAAAGCTCTTGTAATGCTTAAAACAGCTTATGCAGATGATTTCTAAAGCAAAACACGTGTTAACCAGTAGTTTTAAAATTTCATAAACCAAGAGATATTGATTAAAGATTATCCTCGTTCTGAACATCTCTCAGTTTCAAGGACCGACAAAAATATTGAAAAAATCAATGCCCTTGTTTGTAAAAACCACTGCCAATCATTTTATCAACTCTCTGAGATGATAGAACCCTCTTCACCTGGCTTCCTATGACGTTTTTGACGGTTTTGGCTTCCTTTGACTCAAAAAAGGATATGAAAGAAAATAGTTTTGAGACTGCAGAGAAGGTAAAACAAAAATGATAAAAGGTCATGTTAATAAGTGAATTTAACAACAGTTGTGAACAATAGTAAGAACGATTGGACAAGTATATTATAATCAATGAGAATTAAAGATGATGTAGATAAAGGGAACGAGAGTTATATAATTTAGGCCTTTTTAGTCTCATTGATAAAATAATTTATTATAAAATTAGGCATTTTCAGAGATATTTTTTAAAATAATATGTTTAAAATTTTGTGAATTTTCGACAGAGAAATATATATATATATAAAAAACTCTCTTAAACTTACTAGTAGAGACTAGTCCATTTATAAAATCTATAAAAGCATTTATTTTTATATCTTTTTCAGATGAAAATTCACAAGATGTTGTAAAATCAGATAATATCCCTGAATAGCCGAAAATTTGGATATTTTTAAAATAAATTATTTTATTAATGAGACAAAAAAATGGACATGTGATTATTTTACATAGTTTAAATATGGCGTTCTGATAACTACAAAAATATTAATTACAAAGGCTTTGAAAATAATAATACTTTTGAAAAGCTGGATACACTTCATTCACACCTTCAATAAAAATAGAAGAAGCATTTTCAAGACCAACTTTAATCCTATCCTCCAGATTGTGTTTTAATTCCTTTTTAAATTCCTCTTTTCTGAAGGTAGATGTTACTACGTTTTCTAAAGGAAAGAAAATAAATATCAGTCAATAAAGAAATAGAATAAAACATAAATTATATTCAGCAAGTGTAAAAATATTTATTCCAACCAATCTTTAAGCATTTAACGATTACTATTGTATTTAACTATAAAAAAAGATAATATCCTTTATTTTATATTTCCATAAATACATCACACTCTTAATGAAATATTTATATAAATTTAAAATCTAATCAATTAAACTATTAAACATTGGTTAATAATGAAGTATTCTTCATTTATTAAAATTACATTAATTAAAATCAATCTTCTGAAATAAGAAAGCATGAATTACTTGAAACTCTGTTCGAATGATGACCGGAAACAAAAATAGCATTGCTAGTTTTGATGGCAAAGCATTGATGGAATCAAAAACAGTCACCTGTCTGCTCATTGCTTAACAGAATACACGGTTCCAGAAACCAGATGTACCATCATACAAACTCAAAGAACCCACAATAAATGTCATTGCAATAGCGAGATTATATAGAGGATACAGGGCCTAAATGGAGGACCGATATGGAGGTTGTTGTTCTGCAAATGAAACCGCCAAAACTACATTTTATCTCATGGTGAGAGAGTATGGTGACATAATACTGCGGTGAATCTGTCGGAAATCACTTTCCAGTGGAAACGTTACAGGGGCATTAAGAAAAAGACATTTATTGGGACCAAGCAGAAGCTACATTACAGATGCTCAGATCATCAACGATGACCCCAATAACAACCATTGGAACAATATAAAGTGTAATAAATATAAATATGAATAAAGAACAAATGGATCATAAAATCCTTGGATATGCAGATAACATAGTTGTCCTTGGAAACAACCAAGAGGACATTAAGAAACTCACTGAGGCCCTGAGAAGAGAATCAGGACAAATCGGCACACAAGTAAATGAAGGTAAAACAAAATATTGAAGAGAATTTGGGGTTTTCAATCAGTAAAAATAAATAAATTCTATCGTCATCACCATGTTAAAGTAAAAAATGTGCAACATTAAACAGGTTCACATTCATTACTTAAACATGGTGCCAACAATATTCATTTTTATTTTCAAATAATAATAATAAGGCTTAGCGAACCCTGGGGTTTGATAACAATATCAAATCAATTATATTCTTCCATCCACCTGGGCCCCGTCTAAACCCAACCTTGCTAGGTGAGCCTTACCGCAATCTTTCGGAAGCTTGCCAGTTGGCACAGTGCATATTAACTTTTTAGGGATTCTTTCGTTAGTAAGTCCAGCGATTTCACATGTCCACTTTATTCCCTTCAACTTAATCATCTCAATTATATTAACTGAGTACAGTTTATGTAGTTCAGGGTTGAGCAACTGTCTAAATTCTCTAGTTAACTCATCCTTCTTCGGTCTGAATATTCTGCGCAATACTTTATTTTCAAAAACCTTCAGACGTTGCTCAGTCCTTAATGTAAGTGGCCATGTTTCGCATCCATAAAGAACTATAGGAAATAAATATAAATATAATTTATTTATTTTTACTTTGTATTTTCACTGAGTGAAAACCTCAACCAACTTCTCTTCAATATATCTGCTACAATAAAAAATTATCCACAATTATAAAACAAAACATATGAATAATCTGAAAATTCTACCTTACTAATAGGATCTACATAGAAAGGAAATCATTCCCAAGAGTAGACAAATTCAAGTACATCAGTTCTACAACAACCTAAATAAAAGATCAATAGTATGAAATATACGAGCATATAACAAGCACAAACAGAGATTTATTCACTCTTTTAAAGGTACTGAAAATCTCAAACTAAGGGTTTATAATGCTATGTTAAAACCAAAGCTGATAAACAGCTGTAAGACCCAGCACCCTGGAAAGAAGTTTTGAAAGATTTAAGAGAAAAATCCTTCGCACGATAACTGAAGCGATCTGAGACAGGTGCACTAACTAATCTATTTTACATATGTTTACAGTTTTATCGAAATGGCTCCAACGATTACGATTAAACGGTCTTTAATATCATGCAGGTATAAACCATTATGAAAAAGACATTATTTGATATGTGCAACACTTCAGATTTTAAAATTATCAGAATGGTACTAAACACAATTGTTTGATTTTGTAAAATAAAAAACAACTCACTTCTTGTTATTCGGTATCCTTCCATTTCAAACTCTTTAAGATGGAGATCTTTAGCCTCTAACTTCTTACATAGTTTATCCTGAGCATACTTCAACTCATTAATTACCAATAAAAGTGGAACAATTAATTCCTTATACACCTAAAATTAGAAGGACTTGAATCATGACCAATAAATTATTAGGATATTGAATATTACTTCAGAAGTGATAACCCTGGATGAATGCAAGATCACAGTGTACAGGTGATGTGAAAAGTAGCTAAATGTTAGAGTAGTTCTTGTTTTTTTTAAGCTTTGTTTGACAACCCAGAAGTAATAGCATCTATTAACTTTGTGGCTGCAGGTTTTTATAAATTGAAGTATAATCAAATTAAAAACAAATTATACTAAAACGTGCAGAAGTATCAGATAACAAGATACCATTTTACATTCTCCGTACACTGTGATCCACTCGGTCTTTATCACAAACATGGAGAGGTGATACTATGAAATAGCCTCAACAAATTTAATTACTCTTCTACAGTACTATAATATATTTAATAAATATAGTAAAAAATGGACTGATTCACAAGTATCTTATAGCTAGTTATATGATGGTTAGACCAAGATTACTTGGATCATATTGTAGATAGGATTCCATGAGTTACCAAAAGTCAACGGAGGCAATCAATTTCCCTTAGTAAGGCTTAACCATAAATAAATTAAAAGAATTTGTTAGGAGTTTGTATTACTCTTTTGAAAAATCAGAACACAAATGTCATGACCTAATTGAATCAGTAATAATTTTCATTTCGGTACCACTGGGCAAGCGTTGCTCCAATTTTCATGATCGGTATAAATGAATAACCACACTTTATTTAGATTGCGAGTAACAACTTCGGTTAATCCCCAACAGCTCCTTATCAGCAAAATTAGAGCCTTAATTACATAGCTGCTTTTGACTACTTGACTTGAAAGTAATTTACAAACCCTTAATGGCCCATTTCAATTGAACTGAGATTGGTCACCTTCGTTTACTTTTGGTCACAATCGGAATGCCATATATAGTGTGACCATTAGATCTTGGCCTTTCAATATTTCAAATAAATTCAGCAGAAGGAATCAGTATAACAAAAAGGCAAGAAATAGTGAACGAGATAACTAAGAATAATGATAACTTCTATGAGGATGAAATCAATACAAAAACAGAAAACTACCCTAAAATGGGACAGGAAAGTAACAAAGACCTAAGTACTCTTGAAGACGAGATAGAAAATTCAATAGAATGCTTGAAAAAGAAAAAGGCAGTAGATAGTGAAGGTATACTAAACAAGCTTATTATTGATCATGAGATTTTGGCCGACTCACCAGGGTGGAGTAACATTAGTATAGTAATACCTTCATTTTCACTAGTAATTATTAGAACAACCATCCCAAATTAGATAATATCATGATAACAAATGTTACACCCTAGAACACATTTTCAATACTTGGTAATTTTCTGAATCTCATCTACAAGATGATTGATACAATCTTGAAATATCAGTAATGTCGTTGCGACGATTTTTGTCTAGAAATGTCACCAAAAAAAATGTATTTATTAATATAATTATAGTGGAGCGATAACATCCCATGAAGGTTCAGAAAAGCTGAAACAAAATTAAGGTGCAAAACAAATAATGTCTTGAAAGAAAATGTATCATAAAGATATTAGGGTACTAGTTCACAAGAGTTCCGCACGGATTATGCATGGTTTACAATCACTACAGTCACACTTGTTCCTGGAATCCCGAATGCGACCGATCTCTTGGGCCAGTTACTATTAACTTTCCCGTCATTTAATAAGTACTTCTATAACCTTAACCATGTTCAGTTCTATAGCAGGAGCCGACTTACATTCTAAATTAAGCCTTTCACATCATGAAACCTGAATTGAACTTGTACATATATAATAGATCTGTAAAAAAGAAACAGTAATAGTTAAAAACCTTTAATTATTACATCTCTGAATGCTAATTCACGATATTATTTTTCTTATTGATGATTTTCATTATTCATTATCTTGGAATTATCAGTATATTCATAAATCTTAATCTGACATTATTTTCATAAAAAGCGTCTTTGACAACTTAATAGTGGACTCTTATATCTTAGAAATCCAAAAATCTAGAAAAAATCGATGAACAATTTTAAATCCGACAGTATATTCATAAAAAGCTCCGACGACTAGAAAATAGTGGATCCGTATATCTAAGAATTCAAAAAAGTTACATAAACTTGATGCTTAATCTCAAATCTGACAGTAAATGCATACAAAGCGCTCCCCTACCCCCATTAGAAAATAGTTGATGCTCGTATTATTAGAAATCCAAAAAATTAAATAAACTAGATAGATGACAAACTAAAAAAGGCTTGCTAAAATAAATTATAAATGCAATTATTCCAACTTCTATTGAAAAACTCGAACAACAAATAAAAAGATAATAGATTACTTCAAATTATTTATTATGAAAATGATAAAAAAATCTTTCATACACAGTTATAAAAGATAATATACAGTATATGCGTATTTACAGCCACTACATGTAAGCACGTGTCAATAAAAATGTTATTTCTAAAAGCATTTTTTTTTTTTTTTAACAGGCCTTGAAGAAACGAGCCAAATATTATTTTATGTATTTTTTTTCTTTTTATTTCACAATGATAACCATTATAATAAAAATTAATAATTGACTAATTAGTAAATACTAATTAGTAAATATTTATTAATAATTCATTAATAAATTGTTAGTAAGGAAGTTCCATGAAGGGAATACATTGGTTTTTTTCAAAAATGCATGAAAAGGGGTTGTGTAATGGGGAAATAGCTGACCTCATAAAAGACAACAACATTCGGCTGTTTTCGGGATTCCATGAACAAGTGTGATCGAAATGATTGTGAACCACGCGTAATCCGTGCGGAACTGTTGTGAACTAGTACCGATATTAGAATTGAAACAGACCACAAGAAATCAGTGTTTTAATCATTAGACAATCTCTTTTCCCTTTCAGCTATTTATTACTCAAAAACTAACTGATAAAACCTTATCAACAACCATGAAGCATCAGCTATTATGAAGAAAAAAAATTGATAAAAAGAACTGTTAGTAACTAGTTTCATACCGATTTTTCACTAAGCTTTGTAAAATTATAATAAAATGACATCTTAACAATCAAAGTTTTAGAAATATTCAACTTCAATTTATTTCCAAAAGTTTCCAGTTCTAAATTAGGAGTACCAGTGTCTGTTAAAAACAGTTCTTCTACAAACTCTATTATTCTCTCTTCTGACAGGTTTGCTTTTGGATTACATTCCTGTAAAATATATCTTTCTTTAAAGTTCTATGATAACAAATATAATAAGGATTATAAGAAATATTAAAAAATTATGAGAAATACTTATAAACCTTGAATCTAAGGACAGTCTCTTCTTTACTAAGTGTTTCTCTCCAAAGGGAGATGATATCAGATAAGGTTATACACAACTGTTGGGTTGGTTTTATTTCTAATGAAGTAAAATACTGGACATTTTTAATATTTATAGAGCGCCACATTTTATCAACCTCACACCACTCATAACATTGTTATCAACAACAATTTGTTTACATCAGTTACGAATAATCGACAAGGAAACGTTCAAAAAAGATTAGGAGACTTAAAAATATTATTATCTCTCACTGAATATAGCTAAGAGTTTAAATTTCATTCAATATTATGTCATGGTACATTATTTATACTATATAATTCTTGAAAAAAACTTTCAACTCGAATTGCCATATGTGTGGCACAGTCTGTCCAAACAATTTATGAACGGCAAATCGTACATTTAGTGCTGACAATTTTTGATTTCTTTACAAAGGAGCACAGGCGGATCTACGGGGGGGAGGGCTTTCGGGCTGAAGCCCTCCCCCCAAAATGGTAAAATATAACCATGTTTTACAGAAAAAATATTAAAAACTATCTCTTAAAGTATTCTTGTTCGTGTAATTATATTTAATAGGACTTCAAGAAACACTTAAACACTATTTCACATAGGTAGTTAATTTCTTTCTTTTTTTTCAGATTAATTTTCGTTATATGTATATGAAAAAAAAATCTTTCGGGCTGAAGCCCCTCCCCAAAATTAAACACTGGATCCGCTAGTGCAAAGGAGCAAAAATACTTTTACCGATTGTGTAAGGAAACAAAACCAAATGCGTAAAAGATGGATGAATAAATAAACACAATTGCAGCATACTACAACAAAAAAAAACACGTAATATTTACAGAGACCACAATCAAGAATAATAGAGATAATATCAAGTACGACATATAATACAATATAAGTATCTAATTTTAATAATTTATATTGGTTTAGGTTGTTATATCTAATTCCTGAATTCCATTTCAGAATCTGATTCTCACCCAAGAGGACAATAGTAGTGTAACCTATTTGTTAAAAGGAGTTTAATTTTAACTCTGGCATTAATCCACCACTCTCTCCCCTGACCCGGGAAAACCGTATAGCCTAAAATATCAGGGAGGGGCTAAAAAAAAATGTGACATTCTGCTGGCTGGGTACATTTATTCTAGGCTCGATAGAGAATAGTTGCCTAAAAGTGCAATTCAAGGATGACCCAAGCACAAAATTTCGAGATGTAGACCAAGTCTCTGATCGGAATATACATATTTAAAGCTCCTACACACAAAACACAATGTATCCCTTTTTCGTTATCGCTGCGAATTATTACGTTTTAGCTGCTATAATGCAATATATAGTAATACAACTACATTGCTATATTGCCGCCAACAGGAATATTGTATCGCCGAGACATATCGCACTTTGTCTGTAGGAGCATTATGTCGTGGAAAAGGTAGAATTCGTCAAATGATTTTTGTTTTTTGTATGCTCTGTATTATTCTCAATATTAATATTATTTTAAATCCGATTGCCAATTTAGTTTTAAACCAGCTACCTCGTTGGATGCCTGTAGAGGGAGGTAATAAATAAGCTTATCCGTCGTTCTTTGATCTATGTCTACAAGTTAAATTGTGTTAATTACATATTCTCTATAATTTATATTGTTGATAAGCGATCGTAGATAGTAGTTTTTTTACTTTCTCATTTCATTTTCTGAAGTTTTGATTTATTTGAGTTGTGAACTGTACTAAACTGTTACCAGGATGTATGGCAAAGGTATGTTTAAAAGTTCTTAAAATTATATTTTACTGAAATCTGAATGTTCTTATTACTTTTAAAACTTTGTAGGTATGATGGATCCCAGTAGGGAATCAGGTCTTGGAAGTGAATCTGATAATATGGCTGAACTGGCTGCCCTCTTGAATACTGAAATCCCTGAGGGACAGAGCAACCTAATGGACAGTTTTACTAATCTAGAAAGAGTTGCTGACTACTGTGAGGGAAACTACTTTCAGGTAGGTTCTATTTAAGTTTTGTATTGATGTATTTAATGTGTCTAACATTCAGATGTAATGTTTATTGTGTAAAACTCAAAGCAGATAGTTGAACAACTTATTTTTAAGGACATCATTTCCGGTTAGTATTGATAACAAGATTACTTCAAGAGGAAAGGGTGATTTGTTAATGTGAATAAATGTTATTAGATTTTTCCTGTTGGATATTTCCTAAATTTGGTGTTACTGTAAAAATACCACTCCACCATTTCCATTGGGCGGAGATATTTTGTTTGAGGTTTAAATAGAATAATGAGAATGACCGAGTATGTTCGAAAGTAGATGAAACTGTCGGCTAAGCCTCATCTTCCACTGAAAACGTCCCATTGGGGTTTGTTTATCACTGTAGAGTGAGCGAGAGTTGAAAGCAGAAATGTAAATAACATCCCAATTTTCACTGAAAATGACTAGTAGGAAGTTTGGAAAAGTCGTAAATCAAGATCTATATGAAGGGAGGTTATACCATTAACATGTAAACCTAAGCTATTCTTAAAACCCTAATTTGTCGCGAACAAGAAGCGGCACCGGTTTTAATCCAACTTGTGGTGGATCTTCTCATTCTGGCAAGAATGGGTTTTGTTATGTGAAGACAAATTGTACTAATTGTCCTTGTTATATCACAAGAGGTAAATTCATCCAATTATGTGTGATTTAATTGTTTTAAATGTTATTCAAGAAATTTCTGCAATGAACCGGGAATATCACAAAAAGTAGACATGGTAAGGTTAAGAACTGACATAACTTAATATATGAATTCTGCATAAGCAAGGACAAATCTCTCTCTCCCCTGTAATATACAATGATATAGATGACAACCGGTCATCTCCAATTACTTTTGGACATATTCCATGACTTTTGTAATGCCATTGTCAGTCCGATCTATGTTATCTTTAACCTGCAATCATCTTGAAGTAGCGATTTCAGAACTAGTATATCTATATAGAAGAAGTTCCTTATCGGTGAGGAAATAAGTTAATCATTTTGGAAAATGTTTATGACGTTGTTGGACAATCAATTTAAACTTCTTTAGACCCGACAGTTAGTCTGAGCACCTTGATTAATCTAAAAATGCTCTCAACGTTCTGGAAAATGTTTCAAACTCTAAGAATTTTAGTAGACATTTCACATATAAATGTTATGATATAGTTGTTAAAGGGCAAGTGCTGTATTTGATATTGCAAGGAATGGTAGCAGACAAGTTCTTGATGAAATTTAAAATAAAACATTATATCAGTACTAGTTTTGAATCACTACTCCTAAATGGCTGCTTATTTGAAATCCTTCTTCCATTTCACCTCTGAATTAGCAATTGGAATTTAGAAAACATTATTACTACATCCACCTCGGCCTACTCAGTAATGAAGGCTATGAAAATTGAGAAATTGAGCCTTATCTAACGTTGAGATTGATATTGAAAACAAGTTTGAAAAAACATATAAACAGCCTTAATCTTTAAATCTTATGAATTTTAAATTTTCAGGCAGAAAATAAGCGCTATGCCCTCGAGGAAACAAAGAATTATACAACACAATCTTTGGCCAGCGTTGCTTATCAAATAAATACTTTGGCTTACAATTTTCTTCAGTTACTTAACATGCAGTCTACACAGCTTGAGGAGATGGAAGCACAAATGAATCATATCGATCAGGTTTGCTTTTATATTACTTTCTAAAAATTTATATTATATTTTATGTTTCATTGATATAATTTTTTTTTTTCTTAGACTGTTATGATTCACAAAGAAAAGGTTGCAAGAAGAGAAATTGGTGTACTTACTGCAAACAAAACTACTAATAGGCAATATAAAATTATTGCTCCTGCCAACCCTGAAAAACCTATTAAATATGTCCGTAAACCTATAGATTTCAATGGTAAGTGTAATATTTTTATTTTCCTTTGTTTTTGTTTTTTAATACAGAAATTATCTTTTTATTATTGAATCTAATAAAAGACCTGAACCAGGGTTAACAGCAAGTTGTATCTGTCGAACAAGTTTTTGGTTAAAATTATACTTATCACTACATAAATGGTTAAGTTCAGTTAGAAAAATTATAAAAGGAAACATGCTGTGCATAAAGTTGTGTTGTTGACTAAATTACATTCTACAAAGCTTTCATTAAACATTCTCAACACAAAGTCATAATTATAACAGGTCATAAAATTTTGATGAAGTGCTGTTCATGTATTTTTAGCATTAATATCGAATGTCTTATAACCATTCAATCTTTTGAAACATTTAACATTTCTTTAAATCCTACATTATTAGTATGACTAATCATTTAGATTTATAAAAACTTTGTGCAGCATTAGATGATATTGGACACGGTGCAAGGATACAGGATGGGGGTTGGACTGGCAGTAGAGGAATCAAATCTCGGTCCAGCTCACAAACAACAGTTGTTGGCCCTGCTCCGACGACCAAACCTCCTACACCGCCTTCAGCTCTGCGCTCTGCTACTGGTTCGTTAGGTAAAAGCTCTCGGGAATATAGGACACCACCAGCTGTGGCCCCACCTCAGGTTAATAATAGTATATTATATTTAATTCTTATATATAACTGTTAAATGTATAATAGATTCTGTAGTAATATTATGAAGCTATTGTTAGAAAATATTCTCTATTACCTATTCTATTCAAAACGATTCCATTCTCTCTGATCCAATCTTTTACATACCCCTGATTAACCTTCTTCATATTTTCTCTTCCTCTCTTGCCGTGTTCCACAGTCTTCCTCCCTTTCACCAACCTTTTTCTCTATTTTCATTAATGATTTACACAATTCTTTCCATCCCACTGATTTCAGTTAGGCATCATATTTCAGGGCGATATTAATAGAATTTGCCACTTAGCCGGGAGAAGCATTAGTTAGACCTATTTACATAAGTTCTCTAAGCCCTTCTTAGATTTCCTTCCTCTCTTAAAAACATCAGCATCACCTTCGTCCATCACCTGTCTTGGAATAATCATCTATCTGAGATATGTCAGCAATCTGTCATTATCCTTAAACGATTCCATAGATTTCATGAATTTATTGCCTTTAAAACACATCAGCAACTTATCTTCTCTCTTATTTTCGCCCACTTTGACTATGATTTTCTGATATATGAAGGACTTATCTATAATATCGTTCTCTCAAGTAGAAATATTCCTTGGTTCTTAACTTTTCCGAACTCTTTAAAATCTGGTGTGTCCACTCACATGACTTCCCTACCTATTTTAGCCAAATTTAAACAACTTTAAATATGTCCATTAAAAAAGAAAAAAAATTTAATTAGAGTAATTTTTCTGAAAACCGTTCATAGAAATGTTAAGAATACGATTTCTTTGATGAACTAAAGTAATGTGGCACATGAACCATCATTAAAATCAGCTTTAAAATTCAGTGCATTTTAACTTTGCTAAAACTGGCCCGATTAAAATTTTTTTTTTAGTTTTGTCAGAAATTTAATAACCTGAAAAAATGTTTTTTGGGCCATGTGTTTTATGACCTGATCAAAATATTTTTCTTAACTATTTGCGGTAGGAAAGTAATAAAATAAAACGTCTGTAAAAAATAGAATATGCTGTACCATTGTTAATACTGGTTCGATTTCGATGAATTTATTTTTGTTTTGTACATAATTTAATTACCTTTAAAAAAAATTATATAAATTTGATCATGGACTGTATACTTTGTGAAGTAGGGCCCCAAAATATTATTCTTTTCTTTATAATTTTTTTCCTGAACTTTCTTGAGATTTCACTACATTTACGAAAATAGTAATGACCTGTAGAAAATTATAAGAAAGTTTCTTCAAAATCTTAAGAGCCGTTTTTACGGTACAGTCTATGGAAAAACATATTTTTTCTGTTATTGTGCAGGGAGAACCCAGTTTGTTTTATGGATACAAAACTTGGATTCGCATCATTCCTTATAATAAGGAATGAGCAATGCCTTAAAGTTTTTGAAAATAAAGTATTGTGTAGAATATTGGGACCAGGGAAAGATGATTCACCCGGAGAATTTAGCTGAATTGCGTCCAAGGGGGGCGGAATAGATCAAAGCAAAGACGGAAAAAAGGGATTGCGTTTGAATGGCAGTCAGTGTATGGAAGTAAATAGACAGCGATTAATGGTATTAGCATCGAACGATCGGGTTCGCTAAGCCTTTTATTTATTTTTTATTCATTGTTCCTTCATTCACTTCTTAGATACAAATTCAAAACCAATTGACCTTAATACTCCTCTGCACAGAAGTTCTACCTTCAAATGCTGTTTTCTTAGCAGGTCTTACATGTCTTTCCATCATCCAATCATGTTTTCTTTAGATATCACCTACACCTCATCCTCTGAAACAAATTTAAATATATACCTACCTATTGCACACATCTCTTTAGCGCTTACGGATTAAAGAAACTGTGTCAAATAGACCGCATGCATAATAATATGTTCATTATCTTTATTCATAGGGAACAACAACCGGTCTCATTATAATGGTTGATTTTCTTTTCATCCCATGATCAAAACTAAACAGAGATTGAAATGAAGTATTGTAAATGGATGAATATTAAGCATATTTTTTCTTATTCATAGATCATTAGTAAGGAATTATTTGTTCATTGTGAGAATTGTTCATTGGCTGAAAATGTGTATTTTCAACTCAGGGGGCTCTAAAACATTACAATCCATCGAAAACAATGCATCAGAAATTTGACCCGATGGCAATACTTACCTTACCTAGTAAAATAGAAAAGTAAAAACAGTAAATCTACTCATACCTCTGAATGTCTTACTTCCCCTACATTGATTCATCACACACCATAACCTAACAAATTAACATTTATATTCCTTCGCTTCCTTTATATTACAACTACTTCCTTTGACAAATCCTTTCTTGTTTGTTCCCCATTTTGAAATTCTTTGCCTATCTCTATCAATAAATCCTCTTCCATATTCTCCTTCCATCAACATCAACTACTTTTCCACCTACAATCAAATGTCAATTTAAAATAACTGCATAAAAAAACAAAACTAAGTGACGATTTTATTAGTGGATAATTCTTGACTGTAGGAGAAAATATATAGTACAGATTTTGGTTGGAGTTTTCAGTCAATGAAAGTAAAAAATAAAAACCCTGTACTGCTATGAAGGGTCTTGGTTCAGTACCATGTAGAGAAGGTACTGTTTCCTGGTCAGCAGTTGTATAAGGTGGTGATTTGACCAAGATCGCACTCAACCTCCAGGTTTTTCTCCTTTAGCAGTCTCCCAACCCCAGGGTCAATCCACGACCGATGAAACAGAATAAATAATATATCTGCTACAAGCTGGGATTAGAACTCAGGATCTTGATCATTGGAAGCTCAGCGCCCTACCACTGAACTATCCCACTCTCTTGTCAATAAAAGTTCAAAGTAAAAAAAAAAATTATATTTATTTTTATTTTTTTTGTGCTGACTTTTCAGGCCTTCATCAGGGCTAAGTGAAGACATGAAAACATATAAATATTGAGAAAATAGTGGACAGTAATAGTAATAATATGTAGGTAAAATAGTATAGTCAAATAATATGTAGGTAGTTAAACTTAGTATTAATAAGTATTTATCCCAAATGGACGATTCCGGGATTCCCAAGTGGCTAATGTTGGAGGAACTGCATAAAAGAAGAAGAGCGGGAAGTCCTAGGACAAGGTGGCTGTAGAGATTGTCTGTGGACTCAAAAGACCTACCAATCCGGAACTAGACAGCTGCATCACTGTGCCAACCTCCGTAGACTTTTAGAGGCAGCCCAGGTTGAGGTCGCGTGGCCGAGTGTGTTGGAACGTTGCCTATTCTAGCATCCTCTCGTGCCTAGTGGTGCTGGTTCGAATCCGGCCAGGGAGGTGTTGACTTTCATTTCGTGGCAGACCCACGAAATGAAACTCGACCCTCCCACTCTGGTTCGGTTGTACCTCTAGAACAACTTCCCCATATGCCGTAAATGGTGGGTAGAGGTTTATCCAATTAAAAAAAAAAAGAGGCAGCCATGGTCCAGTGATGGGTTGTCATACCAGTGTGATAATGATTAATAAATATGTGAAATGGAAAATATATGATATATGAATTAAAGAAGTATAAAGTAATGGTAACAAAGCTGGGACTAAAATAAATAAAATAGGTTTACTTTCATCGACTGAAAACACCAATCGACTTCTGTTCAATGTAAATATTTAAAATTTAATTTCAATTGATGCTTGAATTCCCTTTATCAACTTAATTTATATTAATTTCTAAAATTTATGTCTACTAGTGTAAGAGTGATAAATAAAGCCTTAGAAAAGGCTGATCACAGATAAGTCAATCTTCGTGCCACAGCCTTCTGGTATTGTCTATATTGCGATCAAGGGCTTATATTAAAGTCCCTTTTTCAAGTTGTTTTAAATGGTTTTGCTTTTGGGGCATTTTGAACCAGTTCGAATTATAAAGGTTACTAATGGAAACCTCTATTGTTCTTTAAAAGGGGTTATGACTTCCTTTGGTACCTTTTTTTTGTTTTCTGTTATTAATTCCGATCAATGTTATCCTGTAACTGTATTTTTGTGTTTCTATAGTTACTGAATAATTGTGGGAACTTTAGTTTGAGAACTAATTTACTCATGACATATTAATTAATAATCATCTCTGAAAATAAATGTGCTATTGTGCTAAAATATAATATTATTGTTGTTGACTCATTAATATTTTATGTTTAATATATATCTTTGTTATTGTTTTAAACCTTCTCATAATTAATTTAGTGCACATTCTTAAACATTTCACAGTATGAATACGGAACTTTATTCTTTGCTTATTCTACCTTACAATGGTACAATATAGAGACCACACATGATGTGATGTAAATACTCCAGTTGTATTTTTTTTTTCTTTTCTTTTTTAAGCAGGCCTAGATTTAATTTTTTTTTTAAATTAGCCTAATTTAAACTTTTCCTTCATGAATAGAATTGGACGAAAGGTGATGAGATGTTAAGCGGAGGGAGCAGGCCTGGACAAGGGCATCCGACCTTGGAGCAAAATAAGGTAGTTGCGGTCAATGCTGACCCCCAGCACGCTCCTAATAACATCAGTGTGGGGCTGTTCCATTAATTGTCTCTAACTGCCTGTATTAACTAATGAATGCTATGTTATGTAATGTAATGGCTTCCAAATTAACATGTCAGTTACATGTCATTAACCTCTATTGAAAATTAACAGTTATAATATATATTATGTGTGTGGTGACATTATCGTTCATCTGGGTTTAGATTACTTTGACTGGTATAATTTTCTACCTATATATATATATATATATTATAAAGTAATAGGAAAAGGTTTAAATTATTACAATGATTATCTTCTGAAGGTAATATACGAAGCTATGTTTGTATATTTTACAGCTTAATTGTAGCTTGTCTCAGCACTCATTTTTAATCTATATATTTTCTTTATTTATTTTTTCTATTTTTTTTTTTTTTTTGTGAATTTAAAAATAATTTTAAGAGAAATTGGTCAGGAGGAGAGGGAGAGTGCAGTCGACATTCAAGCACATAATATATTGGAGTAATATTTATAAGAAAGCCTATGTTTTGACCTACGTTGTAGGTCTTCATCGGGGCTAAAAATATCAAGATACAACAAAAATTACTGTTAATTGGTACTGATTATACTTGTAGTAATAACATTCATCAATCATATTTTATCCAACAATCAAACAGCTGTTGACCACACCCCGGAGGTGGGCGAATGCTACTCTGAGTACTGAGTACCAAGCAGTGTTGGGCGTTATTTAAATTAATTATTTCAAATTTTATCTAGATAACGAATAATACATAAATTTTTATTCGTTATTTCTTATTCGACGACCTTTGGACAGATAATTATTTGTTATTTGTTATTTACAAATAATATGCATTATCTCTTATCTATTATTCGTTATTTAAGATGAAAATAAGATTCAAATAATCTTTTTTAGCAATTTTAGAATTTCTTTGATATTTAGGTCTGTTTATGTGTTTTAGGGGGCCCTTTTTATGAAAATACTGTCGGATTTGAGATAGCTAATAGTTAATTCGTAAATCAACCATTTACATGAGGAAGAGTGGAGGGGGTTGAAATGAAATGAAATGAAAAAATAATTTTATTCTGGGACTACTGTCCCCTAAGAATAATAACAGAGTTACAAATTTATGTATCTTAGTCTGACATAATAAAAATACCAACTAATTTATTGTTAATTGTTATTTCAATTGTGCAATGGATTGAAATTAAACATTGTATAGATGCAAGTAATTTTACATGTTAGGGGAAGTTTGAATGTGGAGTAGGTGTTGGAACAGGAGTTGTTTGAAGGAATTTGTGGATGAGGATCGACGCATGGAGGTAGGAAGTGAGTTCCATAAGGAAGCAGCACGAATGACGAAGTATTTGCTGAAGGAGGAAGTTTTATGGGAGGGAATATATAAGTATATAGGTTGCCACCTAGTATTGAGAGAGTGGATAGAGGAGCGCAGAGTAAGGAGTTTCAGGATGTAGGGAGGGTTTTTGGTTCTGAAGACTTGGAAAAGGAAAACGCCAAGAAGGAATTGTCGTCGGGAAGTAGGAAAAAGCCACTTCAACTCGGTGTACCATAGTGAAACATGTGAACGCCTGAGGATCCCGAAAATGTATCTTATGAAACAATTCATGAGTCTTTTTAGTCTCATTTCCAGCCTGGCAGATAGCCCTCTATACACCAAGCAGCCGTAGTCAAAGTGGGGGAATACAAGGGAGGTTACAAGGAGCTGTCTGGTTTTTAGAGGAATACAATCACGGAATCTTAGGAGTTGTTTAAGGGCAGTTATGGATTTTCGGGTAATCTGGGAGATATGATTATCCCAGGAGAGGTTCTGGTCAAAGGTTACTCCTAGGTTTTTGACTGTAGGGAAAAAATGGATGGGATGGTTATTGAGGTAAAGTAGAGGAAAGTAAGGAAGGGAGCTGATGAGATGTCTGGACCCGATGATAATAGCCTTGGTTTTATCTGCATTCAGCTTTAATTCATTTATTTCTGCCCATCTGTTGATGCAGTCGATGTCCTCTTGTACTGAGTTCTACTCAAATTACGCTAATTTTAATTAATGTTGGTTCGTATGTTTTTCATTGATTAACATAAAATGGTGAATGGACAATCAACCTTAGGAGAGCGTAGAGTGATCTAGTGTGGTAACGCGTGTTGCCTGAAAACTTGATGAAATAATTACAAGTACCAGTGCCGGTGTGGAGCTTTTAACTTTGGCATTAACCTCCCGCCCTTTCCCTTGTCCCAGGAAAAATTCCATATAGCCGAAAAGGCAAGGAAGGGGAGGACAAAAAAAAATCGACCTCCATCTGTTTTAAGTTTAAGATTTCAGTATTAACTTAAAACAACCTTAAAGAGTTATGTAACATTATACAAGCTAGTAATATGTAATATACCATGGCGTCTTCATTTGTTTATTTAATTATTTTCCGAAACAGTGTTATTATTTTTTCATTCTGATTACTCTGATATTTGTATACCAACACATTTTTTTTTTTTTAAAAGTAAATATGTCATAATAGGAATTAGAAATCTAAAACACTTTGATTGGTTTGAAGACTTGAACAACTTTCCCAAACGTGAAGATGGATGTTATGTTTCATTTGTAGGTAAACTGTGCTAAATAATGAATGTCATAGAAGTAATAAGAGATTTGCAGCTAGGCATATTAAAATTTGTGCATCTTGGTTTGTTTAGACAGGACAGAAATAAGGTTAAAATATAATATAGAACTCAATTTTGTTTACTAAAAAAATATTACTATATTAAATCCTTCTGATGTTTGGACAAGAGATTATAAGGCTCAGAGATGGATCGCTTTGCCATGTTATAACAAACAACTGCATATTTCTAATTAAATGAGAATTTTTAAGTCAAATGAGTTTTTTTTTAATGTGTATATAGAGTCTATATATTATGAAATATTTTTTTTTATATGGGAACTCTGCATGTGTTTACAATCTTCCAATATTAATCTGCTCAACATTTTGTTTTGTTACTAACTAAATGTATTATATTTTGTTTGTTATCCTTTTCCGATCCTCTTCCAGGAAATCTAGTGCGCTTTCTTACTTTTTACTACTTTTCTTATCTATATTCGTTTCTACACCCTCCAGATCTCAGCCTGAGAATTCTATTTTTATTAGAAAGAATAAAAAATATATTGATCCTAACAATTAAAGTGAAAAAGTAAACTCAGTATTTATTACTGTTGTTGATAGATATCAAACTAATAGGTAGTCTTGGAAGTTGAGCTGTATATATGTATACTTTTTTAAATCGATGTTACTTCAATCCAGGAAGGCATATAAGAAATAAATATCTGTCGAAAACAAACGAATTACAGCTCTATAAGATGCTAATCAAAGCAGTTCTAACGTATAGTTTGGAGTCATGGGTGTTATCCATGGATTTAGGAGATTCTGTTTTAGATACTTCAGAAGGTATAATAAAAAAAACATATAACATCCTCGATGAACCTGATATAGTGAAGCATTTGAGGCTGGAAAGATTGTGAGTGAGTTGGCTATATAGTTCAAATGTCGAAGGTTGAGATCGCCAGAGGAATGAGTAAGGGTATTCGTAGCACCAGAAGTAGAAGAAGACTGCGTCTTAGAGGGAAGATGGCGTTTTAGAGAGGAAGGTGGTGTAACAGAAAGCAATTAGAGTATTCTTGCCCAATGGCTACCAGACATTATTAGAGGAGATTTAACGATCCTTCGAGCCAATGGAAAAAGAAGTGTATTACTATCAACACAGAAACAATCAAATCATAACATAAACTTTTAATTTCCTTAAGGAATATATTTAGTTTTTGATCTTCTTACATGGCACTACGTCCTGGGTTGAGACAAGTCCTCTTGCAGAATGTTGACCAGTCAGCTCTGTTCCACGCTGCTCCTTTCTAGTTTCGGACCTCAAGGTCCTCCACAACTTTAGTTTTCCTGTATTTCTCTGGCCAAACATTTCTTCCAAGAACATGGTTTTGGAGACCTTTACCATCAGGCATTCTGATGGCATGTCGAGCTCATCTGAGATTACTTACTTTAATATAGATCACCGCATCAGCATCCCCACACAGTTCCATTAAATCGGCATTAGTCCGTTGTCTCCAGACTCCACTTACACATACCGTACGATGGAGTAACTTTGGGACACTTTTGAAACTTAAAATGCTGAAAAAATATTAATATGTAAGGTCAGTCTTCCTCTTACAAAGTATGGCAGAACAATAACTCAAGAAAGAAGAATATTTTACTAAAAAAAAAAAAAAATTAAATTTGTCCTAATATTACTCCGTTGATTGGAGGAAAATTGGGACAGTGCATTGTCTCCAATAGAAATGGCAAGAAACATGATTTTGTACTCAGTTACTCCACAATATTGTATAGGCTCATTATTTACATAAGGAACAACAAGTTTATTCTTCAATGCTATATTTAAGAGCACATCAGAACAATAAATTTGTATTAAAGGTACAAAAATATTGCAAATCATAATTTTTTAAACAATTAGCCTTCAAAATTGACTGAACAAATCAAAAATGTAACAAACATTATTTAAACACTTATTACAAATTAGTTTTTGTTAACTAAAAGCCAAGAGATTGCTGCAAACTTGCAGCTCTTTCACTTTAAAAATTTCATTGTATCAGACATTGAAGCACAAGCGAAAATTTCATGAAAAAAGCAAAGGAAATAAATAAAACCTAATTGCACGAGTGTAGTAAACCAGCGTTCTCTAACTGCCGCAAGGTAGTAGCTCAGTACATGCCTTTACCAAAGCATGTTTTTGCAGACTGAACCAACACAGTGTATCCACCACAAACTAACTTTTACCTGCTGTCCCAAAGTTACTCCATCTTACGGTATTGATTCTTCTCAGGATTCTCCTCTCAGATCTTAGCAGACCGTGTTCCAGATTCCTAGTATTAGCCCAGCATAAGTACCAGCCTTACTAATGTATTATACTGGCGGTTCTTAGCGACTCGAGATACTATTCAGTTGTTGAATTCCCAACTAGTCCATGATAGCATCTGTAATGAGAATATTACTAACCACTATTAAATATATTATTTTTAGAATAAAGATCTATCTAGTTGGTTTTCAATCATTTTTAAAATTTACTTACAATCTTTCTCTTTTCTGGGATGAAAGGCTGCCAACTTGAAATGAGTGGTCCCTTATTCAACAAAATTTTTTTTTTATTATTATATAGGGTGTTTCAGGGTCAAGTGGACTAACTGCAAAAATGATCTAAGGACTTCAAAACAAGACAGAAAAAAATTTCCTCTGAAGGTATGTCCGCAAACGCTTTATTTAGGAGATATTCACACCTAAAGATTTTCGTTGTTATGAATTATTTACGTTATATTGAAATAAATAAAACCTATTTATTTGTTCTTACTACTTTATTAATTAAATGTAAAGGAACTTAAAAGTGATTTCCTTGAGCACTAAGACAGGCTCGGCATCTTTCTTCAACAGCAGCAGTGGCAGAACGGCACTGGATATGTGTTATTGTTTCACAAGATTCAATTATCCTTCTTCGCAAGGAATTAAGGTCATTGACCGGAATTGCATAGACTTTCTGTTTAATGCCACCCAAAAAAAATATCACATTGCACTGGATTATTTTGTTTAGGGTGACATTAAACAAAAAGCCTATGCAAATCTGGTCAATGATCTTAATTCCTTACGAATAAGGATAATTGAAACAATAACAGATATCCAGTGCCGTTCTGCCTCTACTGCTGTTGAAGAAAGATGCCGAGCTTTTCTTAATGCTCAAGGATATCACATTGAACAGCATTTAAAATGAATGTTAATGTTTACATTTAATTAGTAAAGTAGTTAGAACAAATAAATAGGTTTTATTTATTTCATATAACGTAAATAATTCAAAGCAATAAAAATCTTTAGGTGTGCATTTCTCCTGAATAAAGCGTTTGCAGACATACCTTCTGAGGACATTTTTTTTCTTTCTCGTTTTGAGGTCCTTAGTTCATTTTCGCAGTTTGGCCACTGTATTTATAACACTCTGTATTTATAGTGTGTCAGGGTGGGGTGCTTTCACAGAACTTCGAAAACTTTGACTTTTTAATAAATCTTTTGTTCACTCCTTCATGAGGAACAGCTCTGTAGGCAACATAGTAGTTTCCTTATTCCAGTTTTTAATCCGAATCCAGCCATGGCAGATAATTTATTTATTTAGTATTATCAGCTCAACCTTGGTTTGACTCTAGTGTTCTTTCTTTGGTACATTCAGGCTAAGTAAAATGTATATCTGGAACCTTCATCGGAAGGGGGAATAAATCTAGTAGTGTGTACGTGAAGTTGATCCACTGGCCTCGCAGTGCAACATGACTAAATTTTTTTATATCTTTCCTATAATCAGTTGTAAATTCTGTCTGCTAGCTCTCTCTCCAATTCTACTTATAAAAGTGGAGGGACTTCTTACTGGTGTAATATAAGAAAATATTTTGTTTACTTTGCACACAAATGAAGAAAGTAAATTTTGCATGGATTAAGACTTCAGTGATTTATACATGTAAAATAATTTGCTTAGTAGAGAACTGATTAAGTATAATCATTAGAGATTACTGTAGAAACTGACACTGGCTATAACGGTGTCGATTTTGAAAAATTTAAATGTTCCTAACTGTCAGGAAACTTGCTCAATTTATGTAAATATATCCATGTATTTTTTTTTAAGTTTTATATAGTAGTTATTTGTTGTAGGGTTGAGATAGTTTTCTAATAATATTTTACATCAGGTGCCCAGCCATTACGCACCCAACTACCCAGTGGGACATCCACGCAGGACTGGCGCAGGCTACAGCACGTTACCACTTGCGCATCAACCGCAGGTGGCCAGCCCGCCTCCTCCTCAGGCTGTTAGCTACACAATCGACCATCACATGCCTCGTAAGTTCATATCCTAAGGTTTTGTTTATTATGCAGGAAATGAACAAAAATTATATTACAATTACTATTTATTTAATACAAAAATATAAATATATAAAATATAAACCAAAAAAAAATACTATTTAGTTCGGGTTTCGACAACTAAACACTCATTCAAAATTAAATAATTTTATATTATACTTAATTTCACCTTAAATTGTACATATTAAAATTGTAACTGTTTTCAAAACCTTGAATTGACTGGATCTTGTCATCTCTATCATGCTGAAACAGTACAATTGGCTCGCCTCAGAACCACCTGTTAGTAGCATAAACTCACTAAAAATTCACTAATTTCTTGCTGGAAACGTAAGAAAATTTTTTATTAACTTTTTCAATTTTGAATTTTTTCTCTTTGAAATACATATGACTATTAATTTATGATAGCTGCAAAATTATCCCAACAGACATGCTATTTAAATAGTTCACTGTTTCTTATGTGACTCCCTTTTACAATGACCATCATCAAAGCACAAGCATAGTCACTGCAAGTGTGTAGGCTAGATTTGGAGAATCTCTGCTTCTCATATGGACGACAGTATGTGTCCAGCTCATGCGTCAGTAAACCTTCTGATTTAGTCATGTACGTACCAGATAGTAAAATAACATATATCTACTAACATACAAATAAATAAATAGAATTAAAACTGCACTTTGAAATGTTCTCTGTATGAAAATGAATGTTTCAATAAAAATTACACAATGTAAATTAGATGTTATCTTGAGTTTCATTGAATTTACTTTCTTCTTAGATCGTAACAAGGGGCGAAGGGTAAGCTAGTATATTATATTATTTAAAGTTCCTTCTTTGACAACCAACCCAGACCATCTATTTCTTCATAATTTAGTAATGTGAGATATTTATTTGACAGCACTAATTTTCAAACATGTAAAACTGTGACATAAAATGAATTTATTTTTCATGTGTTTTATTATCTTCAGCTCCACCTTCGCCACTCATCCTCAGCCAACAGCACACAGAGGCGCGGTCATCTCCACCGTTGCCTCCTCCACCTGCACCGATGGATCACCCGTTCGGAAGCACAGCTATGCCTATTGTCACTGATGAACTTGATCTTCCCGGCTGGGTTCCGAAGAATTATATAGAAAAAGGTTCATGTTTTTTATTACTTTGTCAGTATTTACTGCCTGATCTTTTTTGTTTTTGTACTATGTTATTCTGCCAAATTATGGGTTGATTGTTTCGATAAGAGTAAAAGGTGTCAGTAAAGTTAAAGTAGTTAATTCTTGCTATCATTATATTATAATATGACAGCTACTATCAGTAATAAAATGTAAGTATTACTTAATAATCGAGTTTATTATTAATTTGCTCACAATTCTTTGATGATACAATTTTTTGTTTACTAATCAGTAATATATGTTCCAGTTATTTCTTAGTTTAACCAGTATTGCATTTCTATACTGTTACTTATAATAACTATAAAATTAATCAATTTATATTAAAATATTTCTATCTTGAATTTTCTACACGTAATAAAATTATCTCTTAACAATTTAGAAGGTTGTCTTAATTTTTAATTAAATAGGCGGTGTATGGATCGATGCTCTGTTCAGGAAGGCTCTTAATTCTCTCGTTATATAATTTAATAAGATTTAATGTAATTATTTTTTAATTGTTAATAATAATAAAATCTATTAGAAAAACAACAGCAATATGAATTTTCGTAATGATTTTTGTAGATAATAGAACTAACTATACCTTTTAATTTTTTATAGTTTCTTGAAGGTATGCAAAAAAAATCAATTCTTCTCGGACTAAATTTGTTTGCTTACATATTCAACATTCTACTCCCACCTTCAGGAATATTATTACAGTAAGGCTCGAAATCGGTTTTGTACCAAATATAAGCTCCTGTCATGCTCAAATACCCTGAACGGGGTGCCGTTGGATTCAGAATTTCACGGGGGGTTAGCGAATCATATTCTCCACTTTTGTTTTTCTTTCTAAAATAAATAAAGTCGATACAAACATTGTGCTAGGCTTCGATACTGGAACAGTGGTATGTCTGTAGATCGATACGGGACAAATCGGATCTTGAAGATTTTGATGCGTACAGCAAGACCCGGATAGTTTCTCCGGAACTATCGGATCCTGCGTTTTTAAGCCCCAAAACGTACCATTTTCGAGATAACACAAGGCATAGGGTTCGCATCCACACAACCTTACATTAATTGTAGTACTGTCATTGAATACATGTCTCATTTCGTCGACTTGAGGTCTCTATGATCGAGAGAGGAGAAGTTTATATTATTTATCGGTGGTGTTTTTGATCGGCGAGCCATATCATCGTTAATTTTTCACCAAATCTCAAGGCCACCAATTTCGAAGGCTTCCTTCTCCTTCAGGCGGGCAAAAATACACATTAGGGCACCCTGAAAATTCAGGCAAACAAGTTATGAAAGAAAACAAACTTTATTTGCAAATAACTAAAAAATTACACACTTTTCCCTTGGTTGTGCCCATGATTATATAAAAGATTACTAAATTCTCTACAAAAGGAAAAAAAATCATCGAAATCGGACAATTTTTAACAAAGATACAGCTTACTGAAATTTGTAAACATGTTGGTTCCAAACAAAAATGAATAATTAAATTAATTTTTGTTTTCTTTGTCGATTATATTTATCGATAAAGTAACATTTGATTTCTTTATCTATTGATACGTTGCATTATTTTCTTTTCTTATTAATTTGGCATTTGATAACAATATGTTGTGCTAATTTTCGCACGGGCCTACTAATATTTCCTATTGTTGCTAAATATTTTCCTTTATCTTATAACTTATTACTTCTATTCTGTTTAGGAACATTGTAAATTTCACAGTCTGGGTAAAAATGCAAGATTTAGAATGTTCCTAAATCAAATAAAAGTAATAACTTAAAAGAAAAAGTGACAAAATAAAAATATGAATGACTTATAGGACAAATTTTAGGAACAATGGGAAGTGGAATATTCCTGAAGATAGTGTAGAATATTGAATATGTAAGTGAAAAACATGTGGAATAAAAATATTTTTTTTGTTTATAGTTGTGGCCATCTATGACTATTACGCTGATAAGGAAGACGAGTTGAGCTTCCAAGAGTCTGCTGTGATTTATGTGCTGAAGAAGAATGACGACGGCTGGTGGGAAGGTGTGATGGATGGAATCACCGGTCTCTTCCCCGGAAATTATGTCGAACCTTGCGTTTAAATATTTATTTTATTTATAAATGCTGATATGTAGGCCTATTATTATAAATGTTGAACATTGCTAATACAAGTCATAATGAAATTTTCTCAAAATAACCAATAATGTGATTCGATTTTAAGAATTCAGGAAAAGCTAGGTTTCGCTGCAATTTTGCCAGCAATCGTTTCGATCGTCAGGCCGAAAATAATGTGTTCCTATTTCATTAATGATTCATCCCGTTTGTTCTTTTTTAATAACCTGCCTACTAGAAATACCATTACGGTTATAAAGTTCTCTATTTATAATTGTATTGTATAATATTTAGTGATCGAGCTAGACAGCCTAATACTGCATAAAGAAGATTCACATCGTAGCTTGTTTCACTTAAATTAGTGGGATTTGTCAGAGTAGGGGCTGTTGTTTAAAAGACGATTCCTGTGTATACATTCAATCCTGAAACGATTACGTGACGTAATATAAGGGTTAGTTATATTTAAATAAAGCAGACAGTCGTGATAAACTGGCCTTTCCAGCGTATCCAGGAAGTGGCCAGATCGGACTGCTGCTTCTCCCTTTCAATATGGAAACAAATATTAATATAATAGGAACGAATATAAACACTCAAGTTCTGAGAAATTGATTTACAGTGACATTTTAGTTGTTTTTCAATAATTTAAAAAAACTAAGAGGAGGGGGAGGAAGATTTTATATAAAATCTGTTTTGAGCTAGATATTTCCTTTCCCGGGAAATTGCAAGGTTATCAATGAGGCGCAGTTGGAATCCCTGTTGGGATTGATGTTATTGATTTTATTTATTCATATTAAATTTTTTATTTTGGAATAATTTTATATATTATTATTGTTATATGTATTTAAGACAAGTATTATTTATGAATTTATTTATTAATTTTAAGATTCTCTAAATGATAGGAATTAATGTATAGTTATGTGACTATAATTTATTGCTTAAGGAAGACAATAGAAGGTAATCGCTTTGTTATCCATGAATAGATAAATTAAACTATTCATTGCCTAAAATGATAATCTGCCAAAAAAAAAAAGCAATTGTATTTCTTTTTTATTTGCAAATATAAAAGGATTTAATACACACACATATATACGTATATAATGCATGTGTATTTGGTTTAGATCATCTAAATATATCCCCACATATATTATTACAGTAAGGCTCGAAATCGGTTTTGTACCAAATATAAGCTCCTGTCATGCTCAAATACCATGAATGGGGTACCGTTGGATTCAGAATTTCACGGGGGTTAGCGAATCGTATTCTCCACTTTTGTTTTTCTTTCTAAAATAAATAAAGTCAATACAAACATTTTGCTAGGCGATACTGGAACGGTGGTAGGTCTGTAGATCGATATGGGACAAATTGGATCTTAAAGATTTTGATGCGTACAGCAAGACCCGATAGTTCCAACGGAACTATCGGATCCTGCGTTTTTAAGCCGAAAAACGTACTGTTTTCGAGATAACGCAAGGCATAGGGTTCGCATCCGCACAACCTTACATTAATTGTAGTACTGTCATTGAATACATGTCACATTTCGTCGACTTGAGGTCTCTATGATCGAGAGAGGGGGAGTTTATATTATTCATCGATGCTGTTTTTGATCGGCAAGCCATATCATGGTTAATTTTTCACCAAATCTCAAGATTGAGCCACCAATTTCGAAGGCTTCCTTCTCCTTGAGGCTGGCAAAATAGTCTAATCACCCAGAAAATTCAGGCAAACAAGTTATTACACTTTAAAATTACACACTTTTCCCTTGGTTATGCCCAGGATTATATAAAAGATTATTAAATTCCCTACAAAAGGGAAAAAAAATCATCGCAATCGGACAATTTTTAGGAAAGATACAGCTCACTGAAATTTGTATACATGTTGGATCCAAACAGAAATGAAGATTTAAATTAATTTTTGTTTGCTTTGTGGATTATATTTATCGATAAAGTAACATTTGATGTCTCTTAATCTTTTGATACTTTGCATTTTCTTATTAATTTGGCATTTGATAACTTTATGCTGTGCGAATTTTTTGCATGGGCCTACTAGTGTATATACATTTTGTTGATTGATCTAAGACAAATATTATTAGTTTTATTATTTTAAGCAACTAAAAAAATATTGGAAAATGTTTAATTTAATATTATAATTTTTTAAAAATTATATACCATTTTTGCAATGATTTATTTTTTATCAAAACAAAATTCATGAGAAAAAATTGTACTTTTTTTTCAGTATTCTGTAGAGTTTTCTCTAACTTTAATTTAAATTTATTTCCATGTTTATATTATTACGTATATATTTTGTATCTTATATATACATTAAGAATTATAACATCATTAACTGTAACAATTTTGTATTAACCATTAAAACATAACAGAAACAGAATTATAACCATCTTATAAAAATATTCAAAAATAATCACGTTAACAATAAAATGTAAAATAACTTATTAATCAATGGTCAAAATATAAAAAATAATAAATATTGATTTTTGCCATATTTTTTCCCAAAATAATAAAACTTTGTACTGTTTCGTATGGAGTTATGGGGATGCATTTTTTAAATCTGTTTTATAAAACCTATAAATTATATACAGAAAAAATGAAAAAAAAAACGTTCAAAAAATAAAACATCAGATAAAAATTCAGCAATTCAATGGATTTTAAAATTATATCTATCTAATATCTGGTTAGCATTAATAAATCATTTTTCATTTGTTATCAAACAAAAGAGCTCTGCTACTTATGTTTTTTTTAATTTAAATTATGAATTATTTATTTATTTTTAGTATCACTACTTTGATTTTTCATATATCTTTAGTTTTTTATTTAAGATTTATTGTACATTTGGTGTGAACGAACTCCTTTATCACTATTACTAATATCCTTAACGTGACAAGAGAGTTAAATGTGCTTTTTATGTATACATATAAATATTTTTTCATGAAAAACAATATCACCTTTTTAAAACTTCTTTTATTTTATCAGAGATAGTTTTGGATCAATTTGTCCATCTTCAATTCTGCCTAAAAAAATTTATTGCATAATAAGTCTTTAACTTCATTCATTCAATCAATAAATAAGAAATTACATTTTAAAAAGGCCTGAAATAAACATTAGAAAATACATGCAATTTCACAATTATTACTTTTTTTAAATGGTAATAATTGTAAAAAAAAATTTCTTTTTCTGTAATAAAGTTTTTTTTATTTAATGAATGAATCTAAGACTTAGGGGTCAATATTTAATCTGAAACGTTGTCTGATGCATCAAAAGGGTAAAATTGTTTTTCATGGTAATTTTATTCAACAATAAAATAAAGATTTTTTTTTTGTGACCATTGACTTACTCTCTAAAAATAAATTATCACTATAAAGAAGAATAATACATCATTTATAAGTTCAAATTAACAAATATAAAATTTATATCAATGTGATAATTTTAGCTGAGGAATGTAAACTTCAATACATTGAATAGTTTTGTCCATGAGTCCACAACTATTCAAGCTATTGAAGTTTACATTTCTTAAAACCCAAAGTTAAGTTGGGTTAAACCCATAACTAAATTAACTCTTGTATTAGTAAATCCCCTCAAAAGTAATAATTTAAATTCAAATAACCATTAGCTATTGTTTAGAAAAACTTTTAAAAGAAATATTGAACTAATTAAGTGAAAATAAGATGAAACAAATATAGAAAGGAAGAGGAATGCTAATATTTGTGAGTGAGGTGGTCTTGAAGGTCAGGAAGATCCTAGAGCAGAATTGACCGAGTCCCTCAGCTGTTGGATAACTTTCCTCGGGTCATCGGAGCTGGTTACCGCTGATCCAGAGACTATCATGTTGGCTCCAGCCTGGAAAGTAATAAACATGTGTAAGAATAACTAGGACACTTTTATAAAAGCATTCTTAACCCATAAGAAATCAGCATTAGGTAGAACTATTATATTAATGGGTTTAGAGCATGTGAATTGAATCACTTCTGCAAATAATTGGATACTTATTTGATGAGGAGTTGGTCGGAGGGTGCAGTCAAATAAATATTAATTTTTTTAAAAATAGTATTTTTAATTGTTTCTACCCACCTTCAAGGTCTTCATCAGGGCTACAAAATATAGAAGGCACATGATGAAAATAAAATAAATGAATTATAAGTAGATATTAAATAAGAAACAGTTGTGATAAAGAAATAATAAGATGACGTCAGAGGTATAGTTGGTGACAGGGTAGTTAAAATATCAAGTATTATATATATAGAAGATACAAACAAAAATGGAAAATAAGTATAAATAAAAACTTATTACATTAATAAAAATTATTATTATTATGTTATCTTATTCTTATTTTAGCTTTACTAGATCATTACTTATTCATTTTTCAATTTCTTTATTTGTCAACACTCATTTTCTTTATCTGTTAACCTACAGTTAACAAATGTAATCTTTAACAATTTGTTATACACTCATTTCTTATCTTTTATCACAATCTGTTTACTTTTAACTTACACGCTATATTCTCCTTTATTTCCTATCTTAATTCATAATTTTTGTTTGTATCTTCTTAATACTTATAACTCATTTATTTTATTTTCACCATGTACCTTTTATGAAGAGAAGAATAGTTGGGGTGCTCAGTCAAAAAAGGAAGGCAACAAATAAATTATAATATTTATTTTTTACATATGCCGACGTTTCGACCTGAAGTTCAGGCCTTCATCAGGGCTAAGAAAATAACCAGATAACAAGGTATGAGAAACATAAGTAATGATGGTAAAAAAGATAATAAAAAATGAGAAAATAAAATAAAAAAATTATAAGAAAAATAAAATAGATAGATATAAAGTAAAATGAAATTGTTAAAATAATGACTAAGAACTAAGAGATAAATAATAAAAACTTTTAAATAGTGTGGAATGATGAAGTAGGCATAATCAAAAAGGGGTGACAAAAGTGTTACATTGGGAATCTTAGAATAAAATGTAAAAACATAAAAAAGAAATATAAAGTTATATAAGAAATGAAAATAAAATAAATAGTAAAATTAAAAACATTGAGAATGGAGTAGTTAGATAGAAAATTGAGATATTGTAAAGTCTATCAAGATGTACAGACAATGTATAATATAATAAAGAGTTAACAACAGAGAAAAGGAATGAAAGGAAGGAGGGAAGAAATTGAGAAAGCTGAAATAAAAGAAGTACTACCTTTCTCCTTAAGCGTCAAGGGGAGAATAAAGTCGTTACAAGGTAGGGGGAGAGAGAAGGGATGTGGATCCACATTTCTTTTAAAAGTTTTTCTAAACAATAGCTAATGATTCAGTTTTCTTTATTACTCTTATCTTTAATACCTGAATTTCATAATACTTTTGATTATTGATTTTAAAAGCAAATAATGGGGATGAGAAATATCATTTTTCATTCTGGTGTGGTAAACATGGTGATAAAGAGAAATTAAGTTTTACGCAATTCATCACATAAGGTTAAGAATTTATTAAAGAAAATTATTTGAATTTAAATTATTACTTTTGAGGGGATTTACTAATACAAGATTTATTTATGGGTTTAACCCAACTTAACGTTGGGTTTTAAGAAATGTAAACTTCAATAGCTTGAATAGTTGTGGACTCATGTTACTTATGTTTCTCATACCTTGTTATCTGGTTATTTTCTTGGCCTGAACTTCAGGTCGAAACGTCGGCATATGTAAAAAATAAATATTATAATTTATTTTTTGCCTTCCTTTTTTGACTAAGCACCCCAACTATTCTTCTCTTCATCATCCACGACAGTCAACCAATTAATTACCAATTATGAATGTACCTTTTATATTTTGTATCTTTTGTAGCTCTGATGAAGACCTTCAAGGTGGGTCGGTGGAAAAATTAAAAATACTATTTTTTTTTAATTTAGTATTTATTTGACCGCACTCCCGACCAGTCCTTCTCATATTATATCACAGTCAACCATCTCTACATCATTATAAAAATTAATTTAAAAGAACCATTTAAGGGCTTAGCAATAAATTAAATTTAGATAATACATACCTGGGCACAGGCATCAATTGTACCTAGTCCAACACCTCCATCCACTTCGATGTCAAGACCAGGATAGTTCTCGCGTAAGTACCTGACTTTGCCTAACATCTTCTCCATGAACTTCTGGCCTCCGAAACCAGGCTCAACTGTCATTATCAGAACCATGTCAGCTAGCTCAATATATTCATCTATGACAGTGACCTCTGTATTAGGTTTGATACCTATGCCAACCTATTACAGATAATAGAAGTGTCAATTACGTTACAAATAAATGATACTGTCAGTTTATTGCAAAAAAAAACATTGAATAATTAAGAATTTTCGGCTCTTTTAAAATTTAAACACACTAGTGATTTTTTTTTATACTTTAGTAATTTTATAGTTATGAAAAGTTGCTCAAACATGTGACTAGAAAAGAATGAAATGTAACACTGCAAATATGAATTATTTAAACATGATCTAACGTAAATATGATATTTATTCACTTTTCTAAACACGTGAAATTTTTAACACAACACAAAATAATCCTCATTTTGATAACTTTTCCTCCAATTGAATTTGCAAAAGTCAAAATCAATCATACTCCTTCTGGTTCCACATTCCTTTATATTATAATATTTCATTATGGTCCCAATAAATGCACTTGAAATAAACTTTAAATGAACAACTCGTTCCATACATTTAATAAAACAGATGTTTTTATATTTGGTGTCTTCAAGGAATATACATGCCCTTTTACTTAAAAAAAAAATTAATTCCACTTCAAATGATGTTTCAAGCTGATTAGCTCATTTTCAAGTCATCAAAAAAATTTATTTACTCTTTTTTTACCAAAATATGTCTGTCTTATGCCACCTCTTCACTCGACCAGGTGTGTTTATCATTCTTATCTTAGTTTTCTCCTATTTTCTTTTTCTCGTCACTCTCTCTTCCATATCTCCTTCTCTATTTTGTGTATATTGATAACATTTACTCTTCTTTTTCCATCTTTTTTACATTATTTAAACTTTTTATTTTCTTATACATATTAAGTATGTTTTGATAGATTTTACAATATCTCAATTTTCTATTTATATATATTATTTCCTTATATAACTTCATATTCCTCTTCTCATATTTCTTTTGTTTTATGTTTTGTCTTTTATTTTATTCTATGATTATCTCACTTCCTTTTAGCGTATTATTACATCATATTTTAGTAACTATGTCACCCCATTTTTATTTTTTGTTTACGCTTACGTTTATTATCTTATACATTCCACTACTTCCCATTGTTAATTCATTTTTCATTTCTTAAATAAATGACATTTTTTCACGATTCGACATGAACATTCTTAAATAAAATTATAAGAAACAGTTTGAGTTGAACCTATAAAACAAAAATTGACTTTCTCCACTTTCTGAAAATGACAGATGTCCATCTTTGATATGAGGCCACTTGTACATATACAACACAATAATACGTCAAAATAATTATTAAATAATTTTAATGGGTAAAAATAATTACAGATGAAGTAATGAATCAAGAGAATAGCCGAGTGGATTAAAATCGACCAAACCGTTTTGTAAGCCCCTGACCTCAATTGAAAAGGAGCTGCTGGGTTCCTTTTGAGGGAGTAGGAGTCAGAAGCAGTGATATAATTAATTGGAAAGTACCAATAGCAAACTTCCCGAAGATTTTACACACTCGGCTTTCCTCAGAATCCCATTTACAGCATGATAAGGAGATCTTGGCCCACTCGGCGAAGCGGAGTGACATTTGCATGGCAGTACCATTTAACATACTGAAGTCAAGATATTCTACTAATAAAATACATTCCCCTGATAAATTGTGCAAATTACATTTCTGAACTTGGTCAGTTAATGTTATAATAGTTTTTAAGGACAAATTTGTAATCATGTTATACGACTATCTTTAGTCCATTGTTATTAGCATATACCAAATCTTTCTAAGTGAAAATGCAAAAAAATATTAAGAGTTATCATTGGCAATTGCTATGATAGAGATAAAAGTAAAGTTAGCAATCATTACACTTAATGTAAAGTGATAGTTCAAAGAATATTTGATTTGAACATGGAAATGTCAAACATTATAAACAAAAGAAAAAATCTCAAAATTAACTATCTAAATGTAAATACAATACCTTCATTCCGGCTTCCCTTATCTTCCTAGATGTCTTAGCTACATCTTCAGAAGCTTCCACATGAAAGGTATACTGATCCACACTAGCATCAGCCATTGGTACAATCCACTATAATTAACAATAATCTAAACAAAATTTCAAAAATTTGAGAAAACAATTAAAACACTAAATTTTATACATACCTCATCTGGTTTCGATACCATCATGTGTGTCTCAAAAAATGCTTCTTTTATCTTACTTCTTAGACATTTAACTACAGGATGGCCAAATGTAATATTAGGGACGAAATGCCCATCCATCACATCGAGATGAAGATAATCCGCTCCTGAATCCAATAATTTCTCGGATTCTTTGGAAAGATCAGCAAGATCTGCATTTAGAATTGAAGGGCCTATTTTACACTTTACCTGAGGCATTTTTACTAGGTCCGTGGTATCCTAAGAAAAGAATATTTAATCTGATAATCTACGTCAACTAAATGATAACCTGATTAGACCGATTAACACAAACTATCTCATTGACCATTCAAACTTCAGAGGGAAATGGGTTATCAGGGAAACCAAGTTATCAGGAACACGAATCTAGGGACTGGCGGAAAAGCCTTGTAACTAGAGATAACTGCTACAACTGATAACAGGTGTTATGTCGAAATAATCAGTTAAAATTTGATACTCAATGGTTGGTTCTTATGAAATTAAGGCGTAAAACCAGTAGATTATCAACGCCGTGAATTAAAGTAAATATTTATTTGTAATTATCCCACCTAGTTTTACTATACTGCTGGTTTGTGCATAAATAAAATAAAATATCTGGTGTGTCCACTCACACAACTTTCCTACCTATTTCAGAAAAGTTTTTAAATCTTACATATGTTCATGAAGAAACAAAAAAGAATTGAACCAGATACATTTTCCTGAGAATTGATCAAACATAAGATTTGAGTACGATTTATTTGATAAACTAAAGCAATGTAAACCGGCTTAAGGTAGATCAGTGTAAAAATTTCAATACTTCGTAATATTGCTAATCAAAAACTTTTTGGCATTGCTTATTATTGTCAAACAATAATTTCTGTTAAAAGTAGAGGAAATACTGAAGATTGTGTGATGCGAGTAACAGATTTTCTTACTTTCACTTAGTCATCTTTATTCTCCCACTCACCCCTTTCTGACACCAGGATATGAAACCGTAATCTTACATTGGAAATTGAATAGCTGTAACTTCTTTAATAGTTGTCCAAAATGAACGATTTTTATATGGCTTTTTCGGACTCAGGGGGCTCTGAAATGTATAGATTCGTCGGAAATTTGACCCGATTGCAATACTTTCCTTACCTAGTATAGGTAGGAAAGTAAAAAGGAGAGATAAGTTTTTGAGATATTTTTAAAAATTACTACTTCGGAGAGAAAATATGACTATATTTCGTTCATTAATCAAAGCAGTTGATTTATTTGCTGGTATTCCCTTTTTATTTGGCCGCTGTTATTCGCTCTCCACACCTCCGATAAACGCGCTGATTTCTTCAGTGTACACAAGCCCGGTATATCCTATTCTGAGTCGCGTAAAGACAACTTCCTCTCTGCTCTTACTACGATCGGAACTGCTCCATGGCTTTACTTCGCTCTTTATGACCTTCAATTTATTTGGAGGGCTGTTGTACAACGGTGGCTGTCAATCTTGGAATATGGCTTCTGTCACTGGTCGTGCCAGTTTGGATGCAATCACTAGCGGATCCAGGATATTTTGTGTGTGGGACTTCAGCTCAATAGATTTTTTTTCATAAATATAACGATAACGATGATTACTTTAGAAAAAAAAGAAACTATCTAACTATATGAAATGGTGCTTAAGTGACACTTGAAGTCCTATTAAATGTAACTACAAGAACAATAATACTTTAAGATATAATTTTTAAATGTTTTTTTCCATAGGACAGGGTTACATTTTACCACTTTGGGTGCTTCAGCCCGAAGGCCCTCCCTCCCCTCCCCCATAGATCCACCTGTGGACACAATGAAGAAAGCTTTACCACGTCCTTCTTTTGCTGCTGTATCAGCCATTTCCTTAATAGAAATACCTACGTGGCCAAGGGACCATAACAAATGTACTTTTGTTCCAACGTTATTTAGCTCTTTTAGTAACCCTCTTTTAGTAAGTTCTTTATGAGGCTTAAAACAATCAATTTTAAATTTAAATTAATCAGTTACAGGTTTGTCTTAAGATCGACATTTCACTAACTATGAGAAAAAAAATTATTTAACTTAATTAATAGCGACATTAGAGCTAAGCCCAACTTTCTTTTTTTAATTTTCTTGTTACTGACAGCAGATGGAAAATATCAAAAACAAGAAAATAAAACAGTAGCATAGGAAAAAAACATAATATATTTGTGTTTTCCATAGTTTGCGAAATGTCTCAACATACCTTTATATATAATCCTCAAAGTTTTTTTTTACCATATCAAATCCAATGAGGAGGATTTTGAAGATTATATTCTCCTTCAATTGGAAAACAATAGCATATCCTCCCGAAAAATCAGTAGGAAATATAGTTATGAAGAAAAACAAACTTTATCTATACTTAAATCAAAAAGTATACTATTTATAGATTAAGATCATTGAAATCGGACAATCTTTACCATAGATACATTAAATTCTAATTTGCACCCAAATCTTTGGCACTCAAATGCCGAAGATCCTCTTGTAGCCAATGAAGTTTAGGCCTGCTTCTCTTTCTCCTTCCACATATGTATTCCTCATCATCATTTTAGGGACCCTTATATGTTATATTCTTTTTAATTGCTACAGGCGTCTCTAAACTGTGGAAACAATATTCGATATTTCATACATGCTTCTCATTTTTCTTCATCTACAAAAGAATTCCTTCTTTAGTTGAACCATAGATTTTTCAAAGTATATTTCTTTCCCATGTGTTTAAGAGAATTTCATTATGAAAGCCCAGTTAAAGTCCAGAAATCGCTTTTGAACCCAAGAGATCACTGGACCGTCCGGATGATTCTTATTTTGAGAGCTCTGAATTTATCTATATTTCGAAATTTTTTCGTTAGAAACCATTAGTACCAATTAGCAGCTGCTATCCTTTTTTTATTTTATTTTTATTAACTTAATGATAATATTGCCGCGTATGCTAATGATGAGGATTGTGAATGGACTGAACAAGTGGAAACAGGAGCGTACTATTGAAGAATGTAACCAACTGTATTCGAAAATCGAAATGGGACAATCTCTTCTTAGGACAACTTTTTATTTATTTATTGAGTATTACAACAATCTGGCACTTGGACATTAGTTATAATAAGGTAGAGTAACATTCACACTATATGTACAAAAAAATATAAAAATAAATAGAAGTGAAATAACAATAAATAATAATCAAAAAGTGTTAACAATAAATAAAATAAAATAACCTAAAAATAAGAAAATTAAAACTAAGTAAAAAACATATACATACCTATATATACTATTTGCAATCAGACGAGGGGACTCTGAGGGAGGATTGTTCCTCCAACCATGGAGGGAAAAGCTGGACTCCAACTAAGCGCTACTCTTTCAACCGCGTCACTGGTACTAAAGCCAGCGGAGATTGATCGAGAGCACTTTAGCCACATACACTCATTTCTTGAGTGGAGAATCCGGCAACTGCCAGAACTCCAATATATTCAATTGAAAAAGGTGGGACCACTGCCGTTTCAACCTTCTTGGAGGATTATAGGGATGGGTGCTGCTTGATAGGGTTTGCAAGAGGATTTGTATGATATATAAGATTCTGGTGACGGTAAGGTCTATGAAAAATGGGATGTTTTGTTGGTTACATAGAAAGGAGCATCGACTATTGTTCCAACTACTTTTGACTGGAAGGATTGGATGCGTTTGATATTAGAAAATTTGGGACAATCTCTTCTGCTTTGTCTTCCTCACAATGCCATTTCTAGCGTCGAGGAGCCTCTATTCAGCGCAGCCACTCTTCCCGGTCTCTGCTTAGCCGTTTGGGACAATCACAAGAAAATATTTTAGTAATAGTTGAATCTGAAGATGTCACTAGAACTATGCCTAAAGCCTGGTCCACACAAGTAGACATGTTGGTGATTTTTGTCTCTGAGAAATGTCTCAGCTTGTCTACTTAGACATGTCTATAGACAAATCCCCATCTACAGGCCTGTTGCGAGACAAAAATCGCAGAATTAAAGTCTCCCTATCGTGTCTCTAGACAAATCGGGCAACAATGTCTACTACTGTGTACTGTACTTAAGGATTGAAATACTAAATCTATGAAACACCTAACCGACAGAGGAGCACCTCACAAAAAATCTTTATGGTTCCCTGAAAGAAAGGGTTTATCATATCTTAATTCAATAATAATATAAAGGAGATCAGAGGCATTTATGGCACTTTTTCAATTCTCATTTATTCAAAATAATATCTAAAAAGTGTGATTTTTGTTTAAGTTATTTGATCCAACCTTTTTGACTCCTTTACATTTGTCAAGAAATGTTCTCTTGTTAACAATTTACGTTTTTCGTGCTCCAAAAGCATTTCCTAAAAGTAGCCGTTCCTCAACGGTAGCTGCTCTTTCTGAAGAACGTTTCGTTCTCACTCAGCTGTCTAATGCAACCTCCCTCCAATTCAGATTCTAGCTACTAGTAAATTTTGGTTTGTTGATATCTTAAATATTTTCAACTTGGGTTGAGGCTTACAGATAAAAGGAAATCATTATGTGACCTCAGCCAGACCGATAATCTCAAGGCATGGCATCTCAAGGATCAGTGGGACAAAAGGTTATAAAGCAACTTCAGTTTTGAATAAACTTACTAGTTCATTTTTAATTGCAATAGTGTATGGTCTTTGTGCATCTTTTAGTATGAACACAATTGGTAGTATGGAAGTTTGATAATGAACTCCATAAATTGAATATTTTTTCCTCCTTGTCCTTTGGTTATATATTATAAGTTTTAGTTGAACTTCATGAAACCATCTACTACACTTACTCAGTTCTTCAATTAACTGTAAAATGTCAGTTGTGGAGCCTTAAAAGTTGCAACTCCTGATCTGATAAGAAGTACCTAAACAATTCGTTAACTTAAATTTCTTATTCCAAACATTCAGTGTTTGTATTACATTTAATTATATTTAGGTGTTTCAGGTGTATTACATATTATAGATATGTAATATGTTGTCACTTTCAAAATGTTCCAATGTATATGTGTTGAATTAAAATCTCACGTAGTGTGGTCCTCTTTAATAATTACCTGTTAGTGCTGATATTCTCTATCTGGTTTAATAAAAATAAAAGAATCTAGGTAGAATAGAATAATTAAGCTATGAGGTTATTAATGTGCAATTGTCCTACATTGAAGTAGGTTAATGAATATATATATTTTGTTGTATTACATTATCATTACACTACTGTTTGATGATCTTCAACAGTAATTGTGTTTTTAAGCTTGATAGCCGGAGAAACAAGCACTCATCGGTTCAGGAAGTGTGAACCTATCATAGAGAAGTTGATCGATTTCTGTACTATACTAAGTGATTTGGAAGTGTGTGTCAAATGCTTTAAAAAGCAAGGTTAAAAGAAAAATACAGAATAATTTTAATTGATATCATGCCAAGATGACATACAGAAAAATTTCTTAAACAGATACAACAAATTTCCCAATACAAATATGTATATATATACGTATACATATTGTCCGCTCCACCAACTTTTGGAATTCCATCCCACTTAAAATCCACCATGCACCATCCTTATCCACATTTAAAACCCTCTTATTCCAACTCCTCCTTACAATTCAATCAGACGCTGGGTAGCCATTTATCATGTATATTATATAGCTATATAATCTCGTCTATATGTATATTTTCATCGATCAATCTACATCTTAGGATTTAGATTATATAGGTCTTGTATAATGTTTACAATACTATTATTGTATTCTTTGAACATATTAAAGTACATATGTAAATAATTTAAAATAAATATTTATCCACTCTTTTATTATTATTTTTTTTCATTAATACAAGGGTATGACAACAAAAGAAATTTGTCGTTCATTTCAAATTTCACTTAAAATGCCATAGTTTATTGTTTTTAGTAACTATCTTGCAGTATTAGGACCTTATTACTCATATTATGTCTTTAATATATCAGTATAGTTATGTAAATCCTTCTGTTATTACTTATTTTTTAGTTTTTTTTATTGTAATATGCATTTTGGCCAGATATAATGTTAATTTTTATGTACGATATTGTTATTCTCAAGGGACTTTGTCCCAGAATAAAGTTGATTCTTCTACTCTCTCTCTCTCTCTCTCTCTCTCTCTATATATATATATATATATATATATATATATATATATATATATATAGAGAGAGAGAGAGAGAGAGAGAGTGCGAGAGGTCGTTGAATCTATATATATATTTAAAGATATTACAGATTTAATTTTCTTATTTATTCAACAAGTTATGTGTTGTTGCCTTTATTTATTTAAAAACCTTGCTATTATTTCACTTTTCTACTGTGAAGTTCTTATAAACCAAATATTTCTGCCCTCATCATTACATGTTCAAACTATTAGAAAGTTATGTGATAATTTGTTAACTACATGCAAGATTATAATAATAATAATAATAATAAGGCTTAGCGAACCCGAAGGTTCGATGCCGACACCACCAATACATGCAAGATTATACATTTCATAAATGTTAGCTTATATATAATAAGGATTAATGTTTAATCTTATTTTATATGTTCTCTATAGGTCCCAGATGAGCAAACAGGGCTATCTCAGGAGAAGTTGATTGAAAAATATAAGTCAGCCCTGAATATTGCTCAGAAAGCAAAAAATGCTCGTGATGGTATGTGGACTTGAAATTTATACTGATCCAAGATTAACTTACTTTTCTGATTGTTGCTTATGGCAAAAGTTAATAATAAATTAGTACAATGCACACATTTAATGGAAGGCATTTTGGATACTAATAACCAATCATTCCTTTCTATATTCATTATGTATTAAAAATAGCTTATTATTTTTTTTGATTAATTTTACATTAATTTGTTTTTATTTGTGGCATTATGTTTGATTAAACTTTCTTACATTCACAGAAGCCATGAAGAACTGTAAACTATTGCAAAATGAAAATGAACAACTTAAAGAAAAGGTAAATTATTCTAAGTGATACTTTTTTTTTGTTAATTTAAAGACTGTAGTATTTTTTATTTATTTGTTTTTTTTTTTAAGGTATCCACTGTAGAAAAACAATATAAAACGGCAGAGGAGATGTTAGCTGCACTGACTGATCAAAAACTGAAACTTGCAATGGAGGTAATCCAACATAGCTTGTTTTTGTCATTTACCTCTCTATCTTAAAATATATAGTTAGTTATGAAGAGAAGAATAGTTGGGATGGTCAGTCAAAAAGGAAGGCAAAAATAAATGATAATATTTATTTTTTACATATGCCGACGTTTCGACCTGAAGTTCAGGCCTTCATCAGGGCTAAAAAAATAACCAGATAACAAGGTATGAGAAACATAAGTAGTGATGGTAAAAAAAAAAATAAAAAAAAATTAGAAAAATAAAATAAATAAATATAAAGTAAAATGAAATTGACTGACCACCCCAACTATTCTTCTCTTCATTATCCACAACAGTCAGCCAATTACCAATTATATAGTTAGTTATCTTTAATAGAAGAAACAAAGTGATTAATACAACATTACTGATATTTAAACTATAACTAATCAAATTCTCCTCTTCCAACACAATATTATACACTATGAGAGATAAAAACAATTTAGTTATTGACAGTACAGTTTTCTCCTGCTACAAATATGTTTAAAACGCTAGAAAATCTTATGCTGAGACACTGTCTGTAATTTAGAGTATCTGTGACACTGATCTTCACAAAGCAAGGTAGCGTCACTAGCCTGGATTTTCTCTTCTCCCGTCGTCAAGCAAAAAGTGCCTCTTTTTCTCTTTGAAGGTTTCCACCTCTTACTCCCACAGCCTTCTTGATTCAATTATATTATTTTATGTTGAGTTATCTTCTACATGATAATAAAGCAGACCCTGCTCGGTTTGTCAAAATGACCTTCCGAGGCGTGATTGACATTCTGACTGATCATGTAAAGTTATGGTTTGTGTACTGATGGATTTTCAGAAATCCTAAAATCAAAACTTCAATCACAAGAAGTTGAGGAGGAGACTAACATTTATTTAATTAATTATTTTGTTTTCTTCCTCATCCTCTTCTTTTTAGACTATACCGGGTTTTCTTGAGTCAGGGGATGATGGCAGAGAGGATTAATGCCAGAGTTAAAAGCTCCCTCAGGCACCAGTATGCAAATTCATAACTATTTTATCAAATAATCTTCCATCAGGTTACTGGAAAATGCGGTGCTGTGCACACATACGTTAGCCCCCTTGGCCACCCTGCAGTGGGAGACCAACCTAACTACTTGAGGATGGGAGACTACCTAACTTCGTTGACTTTTATTTTGTGGTGGACCCACGGAATGGAACTCGACCTGCCCACTCTGGTTAGAATAGGTTTGGTTGTACCTCTAGAACAACCCTCCTTCCCTCTCCCCTCCCGTATGCCAGAAATGGTGGCTAGGGGGTTATCCAATAAAAATAAAAAAGTGGGGAGACTACTCGGTAGGTTAGTTCACCTTATTCTCACAAACAATATCAATTCCTGATTTTCATTTAAAATAAACTGTTCTAAATGCCCCTAGTTTATTTTTTTATAAAGGATCTTCAGATAATTTTTTTTTTAACATTGAAGTGGGCTATAAATTAAAAAAAAAAGTGGAAAACTACATATTTTACTTATAGAAAAATTTGAGCTTTAACTGTATGATATTTGTTAGTTCCTTTTTCCAATATATTTATTAATTATGCTATATTTTTTCTTATTTTTTTTAAGTAGTTAAGCTTAACTTAATTTTTCTTACTTTTGTCAAACCAATTTTTGGGCACTAGGAAGTAATTATTACAGCTTCACTTTTCTCTTGTCCGATGCTAAAATATTAAAATAAAATAATGGCCAAAAAAGCTTTTATAATGAAATATTATTAATAGACAATGCGGCAGCTTCTCATTGCCTGTTAACTCAACATTAATTGACATCAGTCTGACTGATAACATGATCCTGATGTAAGTAATTCTCATCAGTCTTGTGACTCTCGTTCATGACAGATTGTGTAGTGTCTACTTAAGACTATTTTCAAAACTGGTTAGGGGCTGCATAGGATCTGCTTAACTAAAGGAGGCTGATCTAGGAGGCCATGACATAAAAATGATATTTTTTTCAAATACAGAAAAAGTAACAGTACTTGTGAAAATTTAAACTCATTTCTATATAGGCATATAATTCAAATGGAAATTGTTTTAAAGGAAGGAGATGGTCCGGGGTGGCGGTCATAAATAGGCTGAATAGTGGTAAAACTATTTTTAATAAAAGCCGATGTTTCTACCCGACTTTGCAGGTCTTCTTCAGGGCTAGAACGGACAAGATACAAAAAGATACAGAATTGTGGCAGTTACATAATATTTAGACCAAATTTATAAACAATGTGAATAAGCTTATTGAAATTATAAACAGTAAGTACATTAAGATATGAACAAAGTAAGCTAAGTAACAAGATCCTAAAATGAAGTAAATAGATGTTAACAATTGTTGTAGTGTGATATATAATAAATGTAAATGTGAATATACTTCTACAGATCTACAGGAGAGATTGAAAGAAAAGGGAAAAAGGATATAATATGAAATAATAGACCTAAAGGAATGTGAAGAAAGGAAATAAAAAATCAAATAAATAGGTAAATAAAATGGAAGAATGAAACTAAAGACTTACAGGTGTGTTCAGCTAGGAGTTTCACTTAGAACTGGAAAACCAGTGGTTAAGATCAGGTATAAAGGAAGCTGACTTGTTTGGATAATGGGGAAAACATAGAAAATTATAGTGTCTAAAATTTGAAGGAAATTGTTTTAATGATTTTCTATAAGAGAACATTTAAGAGCAATATTTTATAGGCTTAGTGATATTACATATTTGCACAAAACATTTATATTTATCAAAATAAATCAAGCAGTTTGTGTATTTTTATTTTTCAGATAGATGACCTGAAAAAAGAGAAAAGAATTTACTTTGAAGAGCTGAAATCAAAAAATAATTTAGAAGGCGAAGTTGAAAATTACAAGAGCGAGTTTAAAAAACTACTTAAAGAAAATGAAGATATTATTTCTACCTCAGAGGAGACAAGTAAGTTATTTGAACAATTAAACTTATAATCTAATGTTCTTTTCCATTCCATGTTATAGCATTACTTCTATTAATTGTTATGTTTTGTAGTTACCAAAATGAGGAAAGAACACGAAGAATTGAAAAAACGAAATGAAACATTGAAGCAGGTCTGTAATAACATTCAAATCGAAAAATCTGAATTGGAAAAGAATCTAAATGCAAGTAACAAAAAGTTAAGCCAATTTGAGGACAATCAAAATCTATTGAATTCCATTCTCGCTAAAAAGTATAACACTGTTGTCGATGAATTTAAGAATTGGGCTGCGGTTATAGATTCCAAAGAAGATTCTTTTGCTAAATTGCAACTATTAGAAATGGAAAATGAAACATTAAAATCAGAAAAAGACAAGTTGAATACTTCTAATCAATCTTTAACAAAAGATAAGGAATCCATGGAGCTAGAAATGGTAGAGCTTAATGATAGAATCAAGAAGATCTGTTTAGAATTAGATGCTGCCAATGCAGATCGGGATAAAATGTTAAACAATTTAGAAAAGGTTAGTTTGGAAACGAAGCGTCTCATTGAAAATTCAGAAGTTTTAACTCAAGAACTTGGGTTGTTAAAAGAAGAAAGAGCTTCTATGGAACATTTAATAAATGTTCTAAATAATGAAAAACAATCTTTACTACAAATTGTCGCTGAAAAGGAGGCAGATCTAACTCAGCTGGCATCAGAACTCGAGAGGCTAGCGGAGGAAAAGGCAATTTCTTTGGTGAATAGTGCACAAGAAGCAAATTTAAGGAATCTAGAAGATAGCAATAGCGAAAATAATACAACTCAAACTAGTGAATCTACAAGTGAAGATAGTTCAGAAAAAGAAAGATCAGTTAATATTGAACTTCTTTCTCTTCAAAATGATTTGAAAGCATTCTCTGCAGAAATAGAAAGTTATAAAATAATCGTAAAAGAGTCTGAGGCAAAGTTACAAGAGGCTTTGGAATCTATTTCTGAGAAAGAACAACTGTTAAAAAGTCAGCAACAAATTATTATCGAGTTAAGGTCAAAAGTTGATCAGATGGAAGGCCTACAGGCTGCTATTGCCAACAGCTTGTCAGGAACTAAGGAACAGTTGGTTACAGCATTGGAAGAATTAGAGGATATTGATAGGCTGAAAGACGATTTGCAACAAGAGTGTCTGCTGAAAGATGAAGAATTCTTAGTGGCATGCCATAAGCTAGAAATTAAAGAGCATTTCATCAAAGAGATTATTGACGGGATGGAGGGGCTAAGGTTAGAATTGAATAATATACACAAAATAGACAGTTTAGAGGAAGAATTCGATACAGAAAATTCACAACCTGAAGATTATATTAAAGGTTTGAAAAAATGTATGGATGCCATAATTTGCAAAATGTTTCACAATTACAAAAATGAAATAGAATGTTTAAGGGAGATAATAAATGAATACCAGGAAAACAATGAGGCTTTAGCAATAGACAACAATAAATTGAGCAAACAAGCAAAAGATTTATTGAATGAACAGGCCAACTTTGATAGCGGCTTAGTTGTAAAATTGAAAACTTTCAAAGAAAATCTACTACATCAAGTGAAAGAGAAACAGTCCGTCGTAGCCAGTTTGGAAAAAGAAGTCAGTACGTTGAAAGATCAGCTAGCAGAAAAAGACAACATCAAAGAAAAGGTTGAAGCAGATAAAAATGATTTAAAATCTATACATGATAAAATGGTTTCTGAAACCTCTCTCGAAATCAAAACTTTGTCTGAGAAGCTTCGTGATACAGAAATGCGCTATCAACAAAGTATTTCTTCTTTTGATGCTAACAGTGAGTTAATAAGTAATCTCAAAGATGAAATAAAAGATCTTAAAGATTTTATAGTTAGCCTAGAAAATCGTGTAGAAGATGGTAATGGGAGAAATTCACATCTTACTCATGTCATTATTAGTTTAAGTTCACAGTTTGAGAAGGAAAATAAAGAATTGAAAAATCTCATTTCAGTCATGAATTCTACTTTGTTGGAAAATATAAATGAAGTGACTACTAATGTTCCCACTGACCAAGATGACATCAAAAAAGGATTCAGTGAAATAGAACTCCATCGTTCCTTAATGGCATGTTTATCTAATGAGTTAGATAGACTAAAGGAGTGTGAAAATTTGGCAAAAGAAGAAATTAATAGTAAACTATCCGTATTAAATGAAGAAAATCAGCAATTATCTGATAAGGTGAAAGTTATGACCGAGAAAACAGAAGAGTTGCGGTCCAGTATATCAAACATCGGAAAGGCTTTTAAAGTTTTAATTGAGTTCTGTTCGAAAAACAAAGTCCCTTTTACTTCAAAGGAACTTGAACAAATCACAGAGCTTCTTCCTAGTGATATGAAAGAAATTTCAGATAATTTAAAAATTCTAGATAAAATCCAATCGGATCTGGAAAGTAATGCAAATAAAATAATTGATTTAGAATCTTTGTTAAAAGAGAAAGAAGATTATATCAAGAGTGAGCTTGGGAAAAAAGATTCAGTAATCGACAACTTAAAACAAGAAATCGACGTTTTGAAGGATAAGGTTGATAACGTTTCCAGTTTAAACGATTCACTTAATTCGGATTTATCGAATTTCAAAGAAAACTTGGAAAGATTAAGATCTGAATATAATCGTGAAAAGGATGTTCTCTTAGACAAGAACAATAAAATACAGAATGAATTAAAAGATTGTAAAGAGCTGCTGGATTTTAAGAGCCTGGAACTGCGCGAGAACAACAGGATATGGGCAGGAAGATTCTCATCTCTCAAAGTAGCGCTGATTGGTCTCAACAAAACCAGGAAGGAGATCAGGAACCAGTTTCAATCGATCGAATCTTCTTTCAATTCATTTCTTAATGGAATTAAAGAACCTTTGCAGGTTAGATAATTATCGATTTTATAATCACGCTTAATTTATTTTATTGTATATTTTATTTATCCATTACGGGTGTTTTTAATATAGATTCATTTTTTATTCAGGAAAAGATTGAGCTGGTCGTTCAGAATGCAGTTGCCGCTTCCAAAGCAGAACTGATTAGAGAAATGCACCAAATGAATCAAGTAAATTTATACTTTGATTTTAAAATACATACTTATTCGATTAAACATATCATCTTTCATAATGAATAATTGGACAACTCAAAAATAATAATGTTGTGAACACCTCAATTGAGAATGTTGTATGTTTTGAATCATTGGTTATTTTTTTTTAATTAATGCATTTTTGAAATAAAAATAGACTCTAGTGTGTACCTCATCTACAAATTTAGATTTATATAATAATAATAAGTTTTTTTCTATGACATTTACAATTTACAAAAATCGGTCATGTTTTGTTGTATAACATTTCACACAACAGATAATACTAAAATTATAAACTTAAGTACTGTTCATTTTTTTTTTTATAGTAGGGAAAGTTAATAAAAACCTACATAAAAATAATAATAATGATGTAAATAAAAATAGTACATACATAAAATAAACAATAATAAAAACTTAACATTTAAATAAAAATATATAGTATATCTTAAATTGTTAATGAACCTAAACTAAAATAAAATAAGTACTCTATTAATATCTTACGGGACATTATTTAGGTCAGTTTTTATTCAGTAAAATATGTTTCGTAAGTCTTATTTTTAAACTTTGGTCATTTTAATTGACCATTTGTTTTAATTATGAGTTTGCTGAAGTGTTTGTTGAGTTGAAAAATTGCTCGGTCTGGGAATGTATGAATATTTTAACTGTCTGCAATTCCAAATAATTTAACATTTTGGTTATTCAGCTACGCAGTATCCTTAAATATACCCTTTATGATTCTCATACACAGATTTTGTACCTTTTATAATTTCTTTTTTAATTTGAATCACATGTGTAACTCCATACTAGACAAGTATATATTATTAAAGGGCTTATAACTGATGTGATTTGTTTCATTGTTTCTGCCAAAGGTTATACAAGTTTTACATACTTATTATAAGTTGAAATTTGTTTTCAATTAATGAATTATAATATTTTTATTTATTTACTATGCCTGATGTCCGAATTTAAAAAATTAAACTTTACAAGACCATTATTCTTCCGACAGTTCTTTATGGATGCGGAACGTGGCCTCTTACATTGGGGGATGAGTAATTTCTATAGGTTTTTGAAAATAAAGTATTGTGTAGAATATTTGGACATTGAATCAACCGGAGAATTTAGAAGGTTACATAATACTGAATTTTGCGATCTGTATCCGGTTAATATAATTGAGTTGATTGTTGGTGTTGGATCGAGGTGATGATTACTATTGGCATTGAATCTTCCGGGTTTGCTCAGTCTTATTATTATTGTTATCATATATTGATTGCTAGTTGTCCAATGTGAATAATTGGCATAGTATATTGGTCAGTGAAAAAATGATAAAATAATATGGATGTAAGTTAATGCACCATATTGTGGGATAGACGATATGGGTTTCTAAACTTTCTATTCTTCAGGCAGTTTCAATGTTTCATTCATAACAATAAAACAAAACATATTGTAATATCTCTAATATTTTTTAGCTAATAATAATATAACCTCAGAAGATCACTTTATACTGTTGGGATACTTCCTAAATAAATAAGAGGTTATTAAATAATAAACAAAATTATAAGAGTATTAATATATTAAATTGAAATTTATAATTATTTTATCTCAGATATGGGTTACTGACAATCAGATCTAAGCACTCAGACAAACTATTATTATTTATACCAAAAAGTAAACACTGATTTTAAAATAAAGTCAAGTATGGATTGGCAAGCTAACCTTTTTTCTATATATACTGTTTCTTTGCTTGTTGCACTAAATTCATTTGTCTTCTAACATTTTCCTATGTTCTGCCAAACACATCTTCCAAAATGGTGAAACTTTCCAATGGTAATTCCAAACAACTAGTGACTCTGTCAAACAACAACTTTCAGGATGGTAATACTATTACTGAATTTTACCCACTGCAGCCAGGATCCCTTCTCCCATCCTCTCTTCACCCCAGCCAAACACCAATTGCTTTCCAAAACAAAATCCTTTGTCCTCTTTGGGATTTTCCTTTTTGGGGAACTACAGAGCAGCCATTTTCTTTTTCCTGAACTAGTAGAACTAGATTAGCTTGCCTTTAAACTGTTCAACATTAATTATAATATCTTTGCTAATAATGATTGGATTTTGTTGATTTTTGTTTTTCATTTTGCGGAAAATTCAGAAACCTTTCAAATACACATTGCTTTAGTATATTTTCCATTGCTCACTCAGACATAAGTGATTAATATTTATTATTCCTTAATGTAATGTGAATTTCATATTACACGGTTTTAGATGACCAAAAATATTTCAATCAGGGGAGGAGGTATATAATATTAGATTAAATTTAATCTATGCTTTATACATACAGGTCAATAAAACTTAATTTTAATAATGACGATTGGTATTTCTTGAATTCTCTGGAATCTTTTAAAGGTATTGGAGAAAAAAAGAAAATTTTTAATTTTCTATGTACTTTAACTTTGATTTGTAACAGCTCTTTCTATTTCTTTTCAGGCTCTCAAAGAGCGAGGGGAAATGATTTCAAAACTGGAATTTACTATTACGGATTGTCACACAAAAATGAAGCAGCTGACGTCCGTAAGTGAGAAGCTTCAGAGTGAGCTGGTGCAAGTTAAAACTGAACTGCGGAGGGAAGAAGATGCAGTTAAAGAAAAGGACCAGCTGATTAAACAGCTGGAGGTCGAAATTGAACAGCTGAAAGAAAACCATGAGTCAACTGCACCAGGTTTGTTTTATTTTTCATTTATTATTATTACCAGTATTACTAGTATACCTGTGGAAGAACTCTTCGCATTAGATATCTATCCTTCTTCTAGTCCATGGTACAGACTCCTTTTATTAAATATTAAGTGCATTAACAACTACCTAAAACCTACAACTTTTTAATTTATAATTCTCAGAATCTGGGCGTTTTCAATCAGGAGATCAGTATACTTTGTTTATTTAATTAGGTACTTAAAACTCATCAATAACCCTTTGCTTTCAACTTGAATCGTACAATAATTTTATCACAAAATCGAGAAAAAAATGTGGCCTGTGAAAATATTGGACCGTTTGGCGTGACCTTCACTCCCAACATGTCAAAATAATGAAGTGTTATAAAGGCCAAATGGCCCAATATTTTTGTTGATCGCCCCTTCTTTTTTTTTATTTTGTGATCAAATTATCTTACGATTCATGTAGAAAGCAAATTGGTATTTATGGGTTTTTAGTACCTCATTAAATCTATTAATTTAATGAGAAAACAGCCCACTTCTTAGAATTTTCTTACATGAAAAATTTGTAAGTTACGATGAAATGAAGTGATTCATAAAGTTTTATGCGGAACTTAATAATTTGATAAAAAGGGGTCTATACCATGAATTATTCTTCCTGATAAATCTGAAGTATTAACAATATTTATTTGTTGTTCTTTAAAGGCGTAAAACCCTTAGTTCATCAACGCCTAGGATAATATTTTATTTGTATGTGACATTGACTTATTTGTTATATTCTTAAATAATTGTCTTTCTACTGTTTTAGACAATGATGTCTTGAGTACGAGTACAATAAGCAAGACTGAAGAACACTCTCGGCTTAAAGACGTTGAAGATAGCTTTGAGGACAGGTATATGAAGGTACATCTTTTTTCTTATTATGAAAATTTAAAAATATTGTATATTGTTTCTTTCTGCATTTACTTTGCCCGGGTTTCTTGGTTATGATATATCAATTGATTTATTTTTTATTGTAAATAAGAAAAAAATATTGATGATAGTATTAGATGAGTTATAATGTATCATAAATTATTAAAACCTAAAGAGTAGTAAAATAGACCAATTACATTTTTGTCAAAATTAATAGATTTTTTTCTGGGGGGGAGGGGGAGGGTTCTCCCCTTCCTCGCCTTTAAAAGGCTATACATGGTTCTCCCGAGCCAGGGAGTGTGGGCAGGAATTTAAAAGACCCCCGGCACTGGGATGCGAACTCGGAACTATTTTTCATTGTTGCCTCATATGTCAGGTTGCCGGGCAACGGCGGTGCTGTGCACACTCGTTAGCCCATTCGCCTACCTCGCCCACTACAAATCAATTTTTACTTTACTAAAATTTATCAGTTTTGATATTGGTCCTAAGTCCTCAAATTTAACCAATCATCAAATATTTTTGATATTTAAATGATATCACGGAAATGAAACAATTAGCTATCTTAGTAGAGGTCTAAAACAAATCTTAGTGATAATGATGTTAAAAAGTCAGCTAGAATACCTTTCTTCTAAATCCATTTATCATAGGTCAATTGTTTATGAGTCAAGACACATCTCACTAGGAAAAGTTGAAAGAAGAAACTATAACAATTTAAGCGTTTTGGTGTGGCTTGGCACCGACATCAAAAAATGTTATACTGTTCAAATTTATTTGAAATAGTTACTTATATTACTAAATAATATATTTTGGTAAGTAAATTGTTATTTTTATAGTGGTTCTAGTATATACCGTTCTGAACTCGCTTTTTATTTTTTAAACAAGTTTTTATTTATTTATTTTTAGTTGTTCTTGTTATGACCGTGTAGAGGATTATTTTCAACAATAAAGCCAGGTCTCAAAAAACGAATACCTTAAGATTCAAAATATCCGTAACTGAGAGGTATTGATGGTTAATCAAAATTTTATTACTTTTTGGAAACTTGAATGTACTTATATGAAGGATTTTAGTTTGAAATTAATAGATTATATTTAAATCAATTATTTAAAAAAAAATAGTTATGGGATATTTAAAAGTAATAACAAAAAATATGAAATTAAAAAAACAATAGTCCCTCTAAAAAAAAATGTTTAAAACCTCGTTGGTGTGAATGTGTGAACGATATTGATTTTCTTAATTTATTTGTTTAAAAATTTGTATACTAATTGGAACATATTTATTCTATTGACAGCTTAAGCTCATTGCAGTTAAGCTAAAAAAGCGTGCTGCAGATTTAAGCCTTACTTTGGAGTCAGAAAGGGCAAAATTTGGAGTTGAAAAAGCGGACTTTCAAGAGAAAATATCATCCATGTCAATGGCCGTCAAGAATGCTCAGGTATTTTCTTCTCTGAATAATGTCATTTCGCTGAAACCTACTTTAGAATGAAAAAGTTATTTTTATAAATTTTCAGAAAATTCAAGAATTGTTCGATGAATCCCTTGACGAGAGAGACAAATTGAAGAAAGACAACGAACAGCTAAAGAACACCGTCGAAGAGCTGAAGAAAAACGAACTTGGTTTAAATAATAAGATTTCCACTCTGGAGTCGAGTAACCAAAGTATTCCAGTGATGAAGAAGCACATTGATAGGTTGGTTTGATTTCTTTCCTACATTCTAAGGTATAGTGATTAATCTTCTTCTTCTTCTCTCACAATCTCCTGTGTGCTGCTAAGCGTGGAGTAGCTGCCTCTGACCATCTTGTCCAACGGTCCCTCTCCTGTGCAAGCCTTCTCATCTCCGGCATGGTGCTTCCTCTCGCTGCGCCAATTCTCTCTATCAAGTCTGCATACATAAGCCTTGGCCTGCCTTGAGGTCGCCTTCTAGTCTTGCTTCTAGAAGCCACCTGGCCTTACGGTCATCTCCCATTCTATTAACGTGCCTGTACCACTTCAACTGCCTTTCTTCAATCGTCTCTAGGACGGATCTAACTCCTAGTTCATCTCGCACCCTTTCATTCCTTATTCGATCTCGCCTGGTTTACCCCAATATTTTCCGTAGGAATCTCATTTCTGCAGAGACAATCTTGCTGGCATGGCGGTCCAAGAGTGTCCAGTTCTCCGATCCGTATAGCAGCACTGGGAGAAAAACTGATTTGAATTGTAGAATCTTTGCTTTTCTGCTCAACTCCTGCTTTCCAATGAGTGTCATGGATATTTGGTAGTATATTCCATAGTAGTATAGTGATTAATCATTTAATTTAAATTTAAAAAATATAGTTAAATCCTGTTATGATTCCTGATATAATGATTTTCTAGATAAAATAATGTAAAATCCGTTACTAGTTTGGTTGATATTTAAAGTGAAGAAATAAATATGGATATAATACAAACATCATTGAAAAGGGTTTTAAATATGATTCTTCTACTCTTTCTAGCGCTATGAGTCATTCCGATTAAAACTATCACTTCTCGCTCCCTTTTTTCTTTTTCAGTGCGTAATATTCCTAGTTTCAGATTAGTCTTTCCTTTGCCTCCATATGTATCATAACAGTGTTAAAATTGCATTGAAGATGATATAAAATAGGCATCCCACATTTAACATTTCAAGATATAATTAAAATCCAAGAATCCAAAATTAAAATAAATAAAAAATGGGTCCGTCTGCCATACGCATCTTTTCTTCGAGAATACTGGACTGCTTGTTTTGAAATTTGGTTTCTATGTCAAATGGTGACCAAGTATGATCTTTGGAACTTGGCATTACCATCTACCCTTTCATCTCAAGTTGGTTGCCAGAAAACCTGTGTTCCTATTAGTCCGGTAGCCCATGGCAAAAAAGGTGTTATATTTCATACGGAGCTTTGTTCTTATAAATTGATGATATCCACAGGCCTGATGAGAAAAATGTATGTCTGCCAGCATATAGCCACTGAAATACAAAATGGGGGCCATGTGAAGATAGATAGAAACCCTACATAGGTTGTAATCAGATATATATAGGTACATAAAGCTATAGACATATTATAGATATATAAAGCTATAAACCCTTTCAATTTATTGTATTTACAGTCTTAAAACATGAAATAATAGTCAGTTACCCCATACTTCTGGATTTCAAGTCGAAAAATTGAATTTACGATTCAAAAAGTTTACTTTTTTCGGTTTTTCGCTTATATCAGTGAAACTATGCGTTCTATCTATAATAATGTTATATGTGAAATTAAAGATGACAAAATTTGCATTAGAAATGGTTATATTAGTTTTTTTGCTATATTTTATAGTTTCCATGATTTTTATTTTTACCATTTTTTATTTTGACTGAACATCCCAACCACCCTTCTCTTCAATTATTCACTACAGTCAACCATCAACCCATAATTATACAATTTTTTGTAGATGTATTTCTCATTTAAATGTTTATGAAATTTATTAATGAACAAAAAACAAAATGGTTGAAATTGGACAATTTTGTGCAAATATATGGTGTTCTAAGCATTTATGGGTTACTGCATAGAGATAATCCTTTGTTTTGGTGTTTGATTTTCGGTAAGTCTTATATCAACTGAAATAATTTATATTGTTGTCTATATTTTTTTAGCAAAGTAATAATGATGAAAAAAAAAATTATTTAAGCCAATATTAGCAATCATCTTTAATTTATTTTCCTCTAAGAAACAAGAAAAGTAGTTAGTGTTACTTTTGATATATAACTATTTGGAAATAATAAAGCATTGTATAATAATTTGCAGAGTTTGTTAATTACTACATAAGATATTTTAAGAAATATTTTGGATTCTTAATCTATTTATTGATATTTTAATTTAATTATTATTAATAATCCTGGCCCTACTTCCCAATACGGCTGGTTCCCGCGGGAAGTTAGACCATTACCCTCTTAATTGGGGAGGCCTACAGATTGTAATACTTGTAAAAACAGGCTGTACAAAAAAATAAATAAATAAATAATTTACATAATCAAATTTCTAAATCAAAGTATACTAATAACATAGAAAAATGTTTAAGTTTTTTTAGTAATTTTTTTATTTTAAATTCATTAATGTAATTATTTAACTTTATTTTATCAACAGCTTAAATACAAACATCAAAGAATCAAAGAGTGAAATCCAAAGGCTGCAAATGGAAATCAAAGCAGAGGTTATCAAATATGAAGAAATGAAAAAGAGTGCTAATAAGTTTGAGGCGACAGTTCAAGAACTGACCAGTCAGCTGGAACAGGCTAAGCAACAAGGCAAGAACAACACCGTTCTCGAACTAGAGATGAAGAACTACGAGGTTACCATTATTTTATAATAAAAATGTTATGTCTATTACAATAATAATAATAATAATAGTAATAAAATTAATTTATTTCAGAAAATAATTGCTGATCTTTCTTCTCAATTAAACATTGAGAGATCAACGATAAAGAGCCTGAAGAGTGAGAATGAAGCATTATCGAATGTTAAAATCGGTCTTCATGAGCAGATCTCTATATTAGAAAAACAAATCGCTGTCGAACAACAACGTATTCAAGATGCTCAAGTGAGTTTTATTAATTTATTTATGTCATGGGTTGGAATTTTTCTAAAAAGTTCTTTTTTAACAGTTTCTGTGAAACTTATTAGGAAAAAAGTTTTTAAAATAAAAGTGCTTAGAAACTTTTGTGTAATAAAGTTCCAGATTTATGGTAAAGGTTTAACTTTTATTTATTCAAGTTCTTAAAGAAAGTTCTGTCAAGTGAAAAATAAACAGTAATTGGACTTAGATGAGAATTTTAATTTAATATGATACTTGTGACTTAGCCGGTCGCCATGGAATCTACCTTCTTATCTCGTGTAACCTCTTCTTATCACTCGTCTCTCCTTTGTTAGTTGTGTGTTCTTCTCGTTGTGCAATTGTTTTCAGTTTTTTTTTCTTTTCAATTTAAAATGGATATAGTAACACTTTGGTAATTGCCTTCTTCAGAAGACTCAATTTGGAATAATAGTAATAATTATCTTATTATTAATAATAATATATTATTATATTATTATTAATAATAATAATAATAATGGAATAAAGAAGACTCTATTGGAAAGTCGGGTTTGGAATAATTCCAAAGATGAAATTGTGTCAAGAAAATCATCAAATGGAGTATTGACAAGAAGACCAATTGGAAATGTTATAGGAGTTGCAGGAAAAAAATTTCTATAAGAAAAGGAACGTGGTTAGAGGGGTCAATAATTACCCTTTTAACAGTAATTAAATAAAATAAATAAAGTTTATTTATGGCTAGTCTGATAATTTAACAACAACAGCAGGGGCAAACAGCAGGTGAACCTATCGAACAGAAGTGTGGTCGGGTGAAACAGATTAGGTCAACAATTATCCTTATTAAGTCCCAAGAAAACCCTTTATATACAAAAAAAAAAAACCTGTACCACTACAACCCATAAAGGGTCTGGGGTTCAGTGCTATTTAGGGAAAGCACTGTTTCTAGGTCCACGGTTGTGCAAGGAGGTGATTTGACCGAGATCACGCTCAACCGCCAGGTTTTCTCCCCTAATTAATTATTTAATTAAGGGTACCCACTTTATAGAGGCTGGGTGTGCCCCAGGAGGGACTCCTGACCCAAGGTCGCCCCACGGCCAATGAAACATAAATAAATTTTCTGCCATGAGCCGGCGTTCCAACTCGGGACCTTTGCTTTGGAAGCTCAGTGCCCTACCATTGAGCTACCCCGCTCCCTTATATACAAAAACTAACTTTATTTTTTCAAAAATACTTGGAAAACTCATTCCATAAGATTGATTATCCACATTGAAAATTATAATGTTATCTTCAATGAGCAATTTAGTTTAAAGAAATAAAGCTGTGTATACTATTGCACAAGTAGCTTGAGTATTGTTCAATTTGTTATATTATAACAACTAGAAGGAAGCGTTGAGTGTTTGTTGGAACCCTTTACTTTTATAATACTACTACTTTCTAATATAAGTTGTTCAATTATTAATGCTTTATAATAAACATAAAAAGATGTTATGAGAAAACCAAAATGTATATTATTTTACAAATTTGATGATTTATCAATTCCACTTACAGGATCAACTAGCCATTTTTCAGTCAAGGCTTGAAGAGAAAAACACTCAAATTGAGACACTTAACAGCAGCATTGGAGAATTAAAGAAACAACTAACCGAAGAAAAAAATAAAAATGAAGCTTTGACCATGGAAATGTCCGCAGTAACTTCCGAATACAGCAAAAAAGAAATGGCCATGTTATCGAAGATCAGTTCCAGCCAAGATGAGGTAATTATCAATATTATTCTTATATTTTTTTGAGAGTTTTTATGTCTTGGGCTATAATATCATTGGATTCAATCTATATTTGACATCTCTTGTGGTGATATTTACCACAATCAATATATCTAATATAGTGGCTATCCATAATATCCATGCAAACCTTTAGCTCTTTGAACATTCCATGTTTTCAGTTTATTGAACATTTTTCTCTACATAATCTCATTCTTCAAAAACTATCTATGCATTTCTTTTTATCTAATTTTTTTCAAGAGTAGTCAATTATCCTTCTTGGAAAGGTTATCCTAGTGTGTAAACTGTGGATGACCTTAGTCTGTAATGTGGAAGTATTGTAGTGTGCTGTACTAGTGACCTCACCCTGGAAGGATTGTGGGTGTTTATGGTACTATAACTGGGCAATGAGATAGCCAATTCCATATGCCACATATCTGTCTGAGTTAGTAAAAATAACAACAAAGTATAAAGGACAGATTCAGGGTAAAAATAAGATACCGGAGGAAGATAGAAAGCAGAAGCAAACAGATCAGGATTAGGAACAGAAAAAGAAGGTCCAGTTGCGGTGTGAAATCTACACAAACAGTAATAGAGGAATCTAAACTGTTTTTTTCTTAGGCATACTGCACCAAGGCCCCCAAGGATCCATTGTGCGACATGTATTGGTCCGTTTTATTACTAAAATATTAATTTTTGTCATTTTCACCGTATATGATATGTTAATACCCTTAGAGGTTTGATAGACTCACAGCTTTTGTGGTTATCTACTCGTTATTCCCCGAATAGTTCAAGTCTGAGCCTTGCAAATCTGTCACACCGACAAACGACGTGAAAGGTTGTTTCATTCTTCTCATGACAGAATCTACATAGTGGATTTCTAGTCAATCGGAGATAGTGCCCAGATTGCTGTGAGTTTATTAAGTGCTGCTCTTTCCAAACTCAATAGTAGCTTGTTTCTTTTGTCACAAGACTCTTTAAAGAACAGTTTCGAATGCCGCTGTTCCTTATCAGACCAGTATTGTTTAAACTTAGCACCATATAATCCCTTTATCCTCCTTTTGGCACTTCTAAGACCGATTCCATAGACAGGGGTTCAGGAGTTATCCCAAATATGTTATAATGGCGAGGTAATTAGGACATGTCCTAAAGTTAAGGCCAGAATTACATGGGAAGAGAAGATCAAGAAGAAAGCCCTGATGCTAGGTTAGATGGTAGAGGAATCTAAGCTAGAAAGAAAGAAGACTGGTTGGGGATAGGTGGAACATAACAGGGGGTCGGGGTGGCCGAATAGGCTAAAGCCTGTGTAACAGCACCGCTAGTTGCCTGGCAACCGGATAACAGAGATTTGAGTTGATATAAAAAGTACGAGTTCGCGTCCCGGTGCCGGAGGGAATTTTAAATTCCCCGCCCTCACCCCCCGGCCCAGGAAAATCCCGTATAGCCTAAAAGGCAAGGTAGGGAAGAACAAAAAAAAAAAAAAAAAAAAGGTGGAACATAACTTCCCCTTGTGGTAAAGAGCAATATGTAATGATGATTTAATAGTCCCCACTTTATCATTAAACACTCAAAATCATCATTATACCTAAGTATGAGTATTGGTACTTATTTAATAGCGGGTAGCGTCAAAACCTCCCTTCTTATCTAATCTCATTTCACATAACCTCTCTTATCTCATCTAACCTAAGTTATTCCCTTGTTTTTTTTGTTTCTTGTGTTAGCTGTGAGTTAGTGTTATTTAATTATGGATGTTGTTATATTGTGGGAATTCCCGTCTTTAGAAGAAAAGGCTATAAAATATTTTCAAGACACCGGGATGTTTGCAAAGGTGAAATATTGTGATAAAGGTCATCAAATGAAGTTCGACGGGAAGATTAAATGGAGATGCTTACGCAGCTGTAACAAAACTGTTTCTATAAGGAAAGGAACGTGGTTAGAGGGGTCGAGGATTTCTTTTTTAACGGCTTTAAAATTCATTTATGGGTGGTCCAATAATTTAACAATTCAGTGGGGAAAGAGCAACTCAAAACTATCCAACGCTACTATCGTAACATGGAACAAATTTTTAAGAGAAGTTTGTGCCCATGACATGTTATATAGATCGATAAAAAAATTGGAGGGCCTGGCAAAGTCGTCGAAGTAAACGAGAGTATTTAAAATAAAATTTTTCATATTTTGTTTATATCGTTTCTTCATAGTGTTTCTTTTATATGTACATATGCTGTTTAAGTGGTTTTTTATTATTTCATCTATTTTTGTCCATTTTTTGCCTATTTTTATTATTTCATTTATTTTGATATATATGTTGCAATGTTTTCGTAATGTTTTTTAATTATATATTTATAATGTTTTGCTCTATTTTAATATATATGTTGAAAAATAAAAGCATTTTTTTATTATTGCATTTTTTTTTTTTTTTTTTTTTTTTTTTGTTCACAATTTCAATAATATCAATACAATACAATAAATATGAATACGAATATATAATAATATGAATATAATACAATAAATATGAATGCGAAGAGCTTATCAGTTTTAAGGTTATAAACACTGGCAGATAGCAGTCGGACACTACCCGCTATTAAATAAGTACCTGAGTATTTTATCACCTCAAACATTTTTCTGTACAAAGTACCATTCTGTATACATTGCTGTGATATATGGTATATTGTGGTTTCAGTATATGATAGTTTTAACAAAAATTTTCTACATTATATTAGTTGATTCATATAATGGATGCCTATTCACTAAGTTCAAACTTTTGTTTTTTTAGATTAGATCATTGGAAACATCATTGCAGTCAACAAAGCAGGAGCTAGCCACAGCTAAACGTGAGATAGATCATCTGAACGAAGAATACGAGAGCTACAAGCTAAGAGCGCAGACGATTCTCGCTAAGAAGAAGGGTGATTTGGTCACACATGCTGAGAAAGAAGCCAAAGAGGAATGTGATCGTCTAAAAAGAGAATGTGCTAGTCTCGAAGAGAGGCTCGATTCTGCCATGTTAGTGTCATCATTCTATTGTTTAATAATCTCATAATTAACAGTTTAATTTAAATTTTAAAAGATAATAATATGAGTCCACCATCGTTAAGGGTTACAATTATCCCATTAATAAACACATTGTTTTTTAAGTAACTGATAAATTACTGAGTTCATGATATTGACAGATTACTGTACATGTAAATATATCGACAATCATAAGCACCAACTACTAAGAGCTCATGGGGTTTGAACCCCCCCCCCCTCTCCCAATGCTGCCGTGATGGAGGCTCAGCTTTCCCAACAAATTGGTGTAGTATGAACTTCATGAACTTATCGATTGTTTACTTTACAATTCCATTACAAAGGACTGTAAATAGAATTTGTTTAACGGTGTCCTTTTTTGGATTAATAAACTCACCTAAATTGTAAAATAAATCATCTATTAAAATACTGTATTGTTTTAGTATAAAGTGTGACTGAACACTTTTTTGTCATCAGGAAGGGCTTCAAACAACTCAATAGTTACCTTAGATAATAATTTTTCCAATAAAAATAAATTATATATATATATTTTTTTTTTTTAGGTCCTTCCCTTCCTCGCCGTTAAGGCTATACGGGATTTTCCCGGGCCAGGGGGTGTGAGCGGGGATTTAAAAGACTCCCCCGGCACCGGGACGCGAACTCGTGACTATTTTTATATCTTTGATTCATAGATCAAGTTGCCGGACAACAGCGGTGCAGTGCACACGCTTTAGCCCATTCGGCCACCCCGCCCAAAATAAATTATATATTGTGTATAGGCATAAAGGATAAATTCCAAACAATATCCCCACACTCCCAAGCCCCGAATCCTGTGATTCCATAGTTTGCCTCCCCCTCTCCCAAGAATTTTAAGTCAAAGTCAACAACAATAGATAATTGACTTATAACGTTTTGTTTATTAACTTATGGAAATTGTTAATTTAATTTATTAATCTTTGATTTAAGGAGCGAAATAGATACCCTTAATACTAGGATATCTTCCCTAAACTTGGAGAAAGCAAGAAGTGAGAAGAAATATGATGAGATAAGGACTGCCCTCCAGCAGAAGCTGGTAGAGCATGATGTACTCAGCACGGAAATGTACAATCTCAAGATGGCCAATGAGGTAGCAGTAGAGCAGCTGAAGGTATTTTAACCTCTATGGAATATAAATAAGATTTATCTTATGATATTTAATAAATTTTAATCCGCATTACAATATATGCTTGCAGTTATCAATTATGTGTTAATTGTCTGTTGTAGGCAGAGTTGACAAAAAAGAAAAACGAATATCAAGCAGAGCTGTCCCACCACAAAAAGATCATAGACGATTTAATGTTGGAGTTCAAGCAAAAAGAAGAAGAAAATGTTATTAAAGATAAAGTTGATAACAGTGGATATTCCTTGAGTAACTTTCCAGAGAGTATCTTGCCATCGTCTGAACGAGAGGACGGAGAGGTAACTCTAACTCTATTTACTAATTATTAATAGATTTTGAATATGATTATAATGATTTTGGCTTAGCAATTCATCAATGTATTTAAACTACCAAGTTGTTACCAAAGTATTTGTCTATGAACACCACCCTTAACTCCAACTCAGATAATTCATGCTATAAGAATGTTTTTGATCCTACTATTTATGTCAATGTTTACTTTGACTAATCCTTTAATTCCTTGTGACTTGAGTTGGCTTTAGATAGATAGAAAATAACTTTATTCTCGGACATAGTCTCTTGAGAATAACAAAATAGAACAAAATTAAAAGATTACATCAGGCCAAAATAAAATCAATCGAAAAAAAGAAATAATGTAAAGAAAATATAAGGTAAACATTCTATATACAAAACAAACGAAACTATATACAAAACAATTAACACTATGACAAGACACTCAAAGCTATTTGCATTGATAGACCAGTACACACTTTTAAGAAAACAATAAAGAATTAAAAAATAAAAATATATTAAATTCTTTATTGAAATAAGCTTTGTGTTTCTGTTGAGGAAACAGAAAGCTGAATCTGACAATATAAAGTGCCTGATTTATATATAAATACATTATCATTTAGCATTGATATTTGGTAATGAATGGCATGAAATAAATGTATGTTGTTGAATGGTCAGCAACTATCTGACTGTTTTTGGGATAGGAATTAAAATTTTATACGGCTTTATGGAGTCATCTACGTTTTTAAAATGCACGTGCAATGTCAGCAGAAAAAAATCGTGGTTCCTGGTCATTTGAGACATTCAAAGATCTAACCACAAAGGCCAAAGAAATTTGTGCTATAGAAGGAGTCTGTTATCTATTTAAATACTGTTGGAATTTGATTCCAGCATTTCAACAATGGGAATATGAGCCTTTAAACTTCGAAGGCGTTTTAAATTTTTAACTTGTCCTGATGGTAGGGCAGTGGATTCAAACCTTTACTATGAATGGTTTGACTGGGTTTATGCAATTTTAAGTGCAAAGCATCCTGCTTTGATCAACAGGAACCAAGCCATTTTGAAAAATGACTATGTCCCTGTACATTGTTCTTCTGGGGTCGGTTATCGACTTGAGCCTTCGATTCTTGTCACATCTCACGGATTCACAAGCATCATCCGCTTGTGATATCGGTGGTTGATGTTAAGCCGTAACGGCCATTTATTTATGAATGATTGCGGAGAATATTACCAATCGAAAATATTCTCAGAGGTCAAATAGAATTTTTTATTGGTATTACTGCGTGTTGCCGGGGCCCCGGCGGGAGTGCCTGGCACTGCTCGGCTGACAGACGTAGTGGTCGTGTGTTCGCAACTACTATTGCACCAATGTCGTGCAGGTCGTAACCTTAATCCGACCAGCCATCTGGTTTCAGTATGCTGAGTGGTTGAAAGTTAGTATGGCTAGGATTTGTCCTTTCTGTGAGTGCCCGTTGGTACTTGCGTATTGTTGCTGGAAGGTAAGACGAGGTTGAGGGTCGGTTAAGACCCTAAGGTTGGGACCCTCTTCCGATAACTGCACTTCATATAGTGTTCTACACACCGTTGTACAATGTTCTCGTTTAACCAAGGAAAAATTATCCGAACTGCAAGCAGTAAACATTTTTCCTGATTTTGTGTACATCCCCATCAGATTATGATTTGTTTAGATCAATGATTCATTTTTTACAAGATTGTATCTTTGATAATTACGAGGACATAAAAATTGGGTAGGGCAAGTTCTTTGTCTCAAAAATTTATTAAAAAAGTGGTCCAGCATCAAATCAAATTACTGGCAGAAAGATGGGTGAAAGTCGTGAAAACAATTGACTTTACTTTGAAGAATAGTATTCAATAATGTTTAAAATATTTGATATTAAATAAAGCTATATTTCTGAACAAGGACTTTTGCAACACCATATTACTTATTTTTCAGGTAGTTTATAAATTTATAATCAGTTGCTATTATGTAATATCAGTGATTTTTCTTTTTATTCTGTCTATAGGGTTCAGAAAGTGTACCTTCTCCGAAGACTAGAAGGCATAGTGGTGTAGTGCCTTTGGACGTCTTACTGAATAGCCCTGATGAAAGCAAAGGTCTGTTTTATTATTGTAATCTAATAGTGGTTGTTGTTGTGATACCTTCTTTAGGTGAGCTTAGAACGTTATTTTGTGGATAGTAAATGAGACTGAGCCGCCAAGCTCGGCTATATAATGCTCATTCGGATTAAGTCAGCTCGAGTCGACTAATTTTTGCGTTTGGGTTAAAATATCTCAGAAACTAAAAATGGGAACTGCATACTTTAAGCGACAGAAATTTTCAGCATTTCGTCCTCTTGGTAATGAGGTACTATTCAAAATTGTATTTTGACATCATACCAAGGTAGAGAGGCAAAAAGGCAAAAATGGAGCCCCAAAATATTAATGTTTGTTTTCAACATTTGGACTAAAATATCTCAAAATTCAAATATCGTGGAGAATTCAAAACCAATATAGATATTTTTTTTTTAATTAGTCATAAAAATAAGAAATTAAGTATCCATCGCCTATTTTAGTTATCATAAACCTAATGTTTCATTTTTAGAGTATAATACAAATGACGATCAGTTAAAACAAAGTTTACCAGAGTAATTTTATTTACACTTATTTTATACAGCTTAGGTTTATGTTTGAATAATTTTCAACAAATTGTTAAGTATGGCTCTAACCAAATATTTTAAGATTTTTAAATATTTTACAGTGATTGTGCTTCAGGAGCAGGTTGAAAAACTGCAAAAAGACCTAGGGCGAAGTGAAGTCAGGGCAAGGCACCTGTCGTCTTTGTTAAGTGAAGCCGAGAAAGATTCTGCTCGTAATTTGCACCAGAACAAAGTGCTCAAGGAAGAACTGAGGCGGTTAGAAAGAGCATTAGAGCGCCAGCCGCACGTTGCCAATACCGAATATCTCAAGAACGTAATTTTCAAGGTAAGACATCAAGCTTAAAGGTTAGGTTTGATTCTACTGATGTCATTTAATTATCTTTGGAATGAGTTTATCAAAATATGGCAGAGGAAGAACTCTTTAAGACTAGGGATGGGAATAATTCTATAAGATTGTTGGTGGTTGTCATTTTTGAAAACCACACTGCTAGTTGTCACTATCCAAGTCCAATACTTTTAGAAAAATGTCTTGAAAACTTATAAAAAACATGGAAAGAAAATGGCCTCCTAGGAAGGAATAGCCCAAGACTAAATAGAACTGAGGGATCTATCTATCTATATATATCTAATGAAAATGAGTGAGTAGAATTTCTCCACTGCCCAACAATGGGTGATGGAAGCTAGGGAGAGGAACATAAAATCAGCAACAAATGCACATTATCACAATTTACCCACCAACAAAAGTTATATCGAAAATTGTAATGATTCATTCCAAAATTTAATTTAACACACCAACCACAGTATAACCTGAATTTTGGCCACACTCAGTCCATAGTATGTGTGTTTATTTTTCACTTAAAATTCATATTTATTAAGCACATATATTTTATTTTCCTTATCTATTATAGTTCATTATCAATTACCTCTGAGGTAACCAATAAAATCAAATTATGGTAATATCTCCATTAAAAAGGAAATGGCATAATACAAAAATATTAAAACAATCAACAGGTAGTAATTAATTAATTAAAACATATAAGTCATACATAGTTACTGCTTTCACAATTAAAAAAAAAAATACTGGAAAAAAATTAAAACATACAAGTAAACCATGTTCTGGCACTGACGTTACAAACATCAGGAAAAATTTATAACTAGATATAGCAATTTTAAAATGTACACAAAAATAGCTAACCAAATATCTCGAAATTTAAACTTTTGTGTGTTCTCACACTTCCGCCTGGGCATCACTATGCCACTTACTTTCATTCTGCTTTGCCTCTATTACATTTAATTACTAGAAAATACGTGGAATAGATATGAATTCCATTCCAAAATGAATATTAAAAGAGAAGGAAATGACTTAATAAAAAAGAAGTTAAACTTGTTAATTAATCAATAATCTCTATTTTCTAAAATAATTTATTTTACATCTTAAAATTGGTGAAGCTTCCATCATCATATTTATCTTTTAAATCTTAACTATTTCTATTTAAAATATAAATAATATTAAAATCAAGAATATTATATGTAGTGAAAATAAATGAAGAACATTATTCGAATCATTAATTTTTTTTAAACAGAAAGAGGTAAGATTAAAGAGATAAATCTGATGTAGGATACAAGCTTCTCAAATTTTAAGATGTAAAAGAAAGTATTTAAAAAAATATATATTGTTTTATGGTAAACAACCTGAACTTTTAAAATAATATAAAATGCAACCTAATAATTGAATGTCAAGAGACCTAACAAGCACCCTAGAGCAATCTGGGATCAGAGTAGCCAACAAACATAGAAGGAACAATTAAATTGAATAATGCATAAAGTGGTCAATCAATATCTTATGATATGAAGGCAAGGAGGTTAAGATGGGCGGGACATGTTGCCCGACAGAGCAATGAATGCCTCAATAGTAGACAAAAGATTTAATTTAGAAGTAATACTCAGTTTTCTGCTTTCATAATGTTTGAAAACATTCCCTTTTTAAATTTCTTATTATGTGATAATTTTTCAGTTTGTGACGCTGCCTAATGGAGATGAGAGGTCGAGGCTGGTTCCTGTCTTGGACACTTTGCTCAAGTTCAGTCCCGAAGAGACACACAAACTGTGTTCAGTCGCCAAAGGTAAAAAAGTACTACTTTCCATTTGTTATAGAATATTATTCAACCTGATGGATCTTTATTTAACTTATATTACTGATTATAAACTCAACTATTTTCCTTCTAAATGATCACAGACATTTTTGGTTTGAAAAATATTTGTTACATATTGTAACATCCCTCTTATATTTTAAAATAATAATATAATATAACCTCAGAAGATCACTTTATACTCTTAGGATACTTCCAAAAGAAATAAGAGGTTGTTAAATAAAAAACAAAATTATAAGAGTATTAATATATTTATTTATCGCAGGTGTGGGTTACTGACAATCAGATCAACTCAGACAAACTATTATTATTTACAATATTTATACTAAAATTAAACATTGATTTTAAAGTAAAGTCAAGTATGAATTGACAAGCTAACCTTTTTTCTACATACAATGTTTCTTCCTTTGTGGCACTGAACTCATTTGCCTTCATACATTTTCCTATGTTCTGCCAAACACGTATCCCAAAATGGTAACACTATTCTTCCACTCAACTCAAGCTCTCTGGGAAATCCTCTCTCTTGCAATTCCAAAACTATTACTGGGTTTTACCCACTGGAGCCAGGATAGGATATCTTCTCTTAACCTCTCTTCACTGCAGCCACACAACAACTGCTTGCCAAAACAAAAAACTTTTGTCCTTCTTGGGAAACTACAGAGCACCCATTTTCTTTTCTCTCCACTTGTAGAACTAGATTAGCTTGCCTTTTAATTGTTCAAAATTAATTTATTAAACCCTTTTTACTCACTTCCAATAAAGGTGTACATTATAATATTTATAAAATAGGTCACAAAAGACTTAAAAACTTCATTTTTTTTCCAATACTTATAATTTATAATGGCTAACTTTAAATCTCACTCATCTCTCATTTTTATTATTAAACCTTCAAACTGCATTGAGTTAGATCCTAGAAATGTTTTTATTAAACCAAAACAAAAATGGATATAAAATAATAGAATTTATTTAAGGGTCTCCCAATCCTAGGGTTGATTCTCAGTTGGTGAAATATTACTTGTTATTTAAATAAGTAAATATATATAATTATTATGCAATATTGTAAATGTAGGATTAAAGAGTTTTTTTATTTTATTTTGTCTCAAATAAATTAAACATATCTCAAAAGTCTGTTAAGGATGGAACTAAAATTTTATTTGAAGTTTATATTTATGAATTTCGATCTTATTTATTGATGTAAAAAACAATTAAGTGTTTCAAAACAATACCAACACTTTTTCGAATCGAAACGACACTGTTATGTGTCAAAAACTATTTAAAGACTGTTTGTTATGTTTTTAAACTTCAACTAAATAAAAAATGAAGTTTCATTGGTCATCAGTGCCACCTTAATTTTTTTTTTCTTATCTATAATTTATTGGAATTTTTCGACTGCACATCCTGATTATTTTTCATCCATACAAATTCAGCAGTCAACTATATATCTATCTCTATAGTTTTATTGCCATTGTTTTTATTTGTTAATCTTTATACTTTCTTCTTTATATGCTACATTATAAATATTACAGTAATCTAAAGGATAACTTAAAAATCACATTTATTAAAAAGTGAGATAGTTAAAACAATTCCAATTATCAACATCAATATAAAACATAACAATAAATAAATTTTATGCTTTAAATATTTATTGCCATTGTTGCTCATGCAAGTTCTAATCCAAGATGTTAGCTGTGTGAAGTAAAATATGGGCATTCCTGAAAATAATGAAGTGTTGCAGTTTATGTTGTCGGAATAAATGTTTTTCATTAATTACATAGTATGCTACAAAAGTTGGGCAACATGACTTTCCTATTAAATAGGTTGGTTATTAAGTGGGAACATTATGTATGGCATAAAAATTCCACCTTTAAAATAGTTGAATAATAATTTTTCTCTTTAGGAAAGTTGGCAATTTTGGAATCAGGTTTTATTTTTAGAGTGGCAATATACTACGTTATCATTTCATTTATATTAATTTGTTGCTATCTTTTAAGTATTGAGATAAATTGATGACAATATAGAAATTAGTATTGTAATTATCAGCAAGAGATAACAATTTTGAGTTATGTTAGCACTTTCCTCTTCTTTTTTTATCATCTCTCATTTAACTTATCATATAAATTACTGCATTTCAGAGAAAAATTTAGTTTTCTTAATAGCTTCTTTGTTTTGAAAATCCACAAACAAATGATGTACATTGTAACATCATACTCATAAGCTTTCTCCAGCATTTGCCTTACTTAAAACAATCTGATCCTTAGTTGACCTACCCGATCTAAACCATCTAAGAAATTATTCAGCTCAAATATATTAAATGTTTTTGTTTTTTTCAGGAGAAGCTCAGGCAGGTTGGGGTAGTTACCTGCAGTCTTGGACTGGATTGTAGTCGAAATCGATCCATTAGTAAATTTACTAATGCAGACGGACATATCTTTCAAGGAAAGTATAAAGAGATTAAGTTTACCTTAATTTAATACTAACTTATTTTCTTTCTCCTTCTCTTGGAATATATACATTACGTAAATACTTCAAATAATCATTGTATCATCATGTAATTCATAATAATGTATTATATTATAATGTAACAATTTTGTTTTGTACAGTTTTTAGATTATGTATATATATATAAAAAAAATTAAATAATGTGACATTCCTGTTGGTATATTATAAATTAAACATAATAATATATTTAAAATTATATCATGTTAAGAATTGTACATGGCATCGATAAGTTTATTTTAATAATTATGTATGCTTATATCTTAATATATATTTATTTAGATGGTTGTGTTTTTTTTTTAATTTTAAAACCTAAAAATTATGTAAAATATATATTTTATCTCATAATTAATTACTAGCTTTCAGTAAGCAGTAAAAAAAACATCTTCTAATTAAATCAATAGTTTCCTCACCATTTCTATTGGGTACAAACGAAATACATGAATATGCATACACTTCACTAGAATTAACAAATTTCTATTGTCATAGCCCACTGGCACTACCTACCTATGTAGGCAATATATTCTCAACAATTGTATTAATTTTAATTGGTAAATAGAAATTAACACCAGGCCAATAGTAGATTAATTTCCAACCAACGGCCAAATCAAACAAGCCATTTTAGAAATTTAGCTGTATTAAGCGAAAACATGACAGCAATTTTTAAAATAAAATCAGAGTAAGAAAGGGAGGGAATAGGACGACCATGAAATTCCTGTTTATACAAATTTTACTAGTTGTTTTAACCCTTATAAAAAAATCTGGTGCGATGCGCACATCACACAACTTTCACTTACCATCCTCTTCTTAGCAGAAATACGTATTTTCAAACATTTCAGGGGAAGTGAAAGTAAAAATTATAGACATTTATTTATTTAAATTTAATTGTGAGTATTTTTATTTACATAAGTGCCCTCATATACACAAATTTTAATATTTATATCACTGTAATCTATACTATTAAATAATACCAACAATGTATATTTATATAATATTGTCAGAGCTCGTATTATATTAAGCTAATGCCACGTATGCAAGCGTGTTCTAATCTTTCGGGTGCACCCATATTCCTTTGGTTCCTCAATTACAACTATTCTCCGTTATGATCTCCTATAGTAAATTATCAAATTCTTTCATATCTTATATAATAGATTAATGTCAAATGGTCAATAGTTTCAAATAAAAAAAAATTTGAAAAATGAAAAATAGCCATTTAAGCGCTGTTAGAGAACATCAATCAGAATAACAATACATTTTATTTAAAACTGCTTAATTTTACACTGATACAATGAATTTAATCAAAATCGTTAGAACCGTTTCTGAGAAAATTGTAAAAATGTGACAAGCCCATGATAATAAAGTGCCATTTCCGGTTAGTCGATTTTGATGAAAAAGTTACTGTAACATCCCTAGCATATAAAAATCTTAAATATACAATTTCACTTTAGTATGACTTTTCGTTTTTGAGCTATACTGTTAACATACCCACAGACAGGGGACCTCAAAATATGTATTTCCGTTGAAAACTCAGATTCATAAATTTTCATGGTCGCAATACTTTCCTTCGCTATATATTTCACGTATAGGTAAGTGAAAGTAAAAAAGTCTCAACAAATGAGATTAAACAGCATTAAGTAAGTTAGTTCGTGTTTTATATTGTTAATAATCTTAAAAAACATGACTTATTACTATCTTAAGAAGCCATTAAAAAACTGCGAAAAATTACAAAATATTTATTTATTGTTCAGCCTTTAAAGTAATCTGCATGGTATAGTTGCCAATCACAATATGGAAATAAGTAAATGTAATTGATCTTGATATATATGATCTTTGATTATACTTATCTCTAGACATGAAACTTAAAAATTTGAGAGAGGAATAGAATTCTTATTCCTTATTCATTTACTAAAGATTCTTCAATGATTTTTTTTTTTTTTTTTTAAGGAAGATGGTCCGTGGTGGCTGTCATAAATAGACTAAATAGTGGTAAAACTATTTTATTAAAAGCCAACGTTTCAACCCTACTTTGCAGGTCTTCAGGGAGGTGTGTTAAGCAAGGAGTTTTACTTAAAACTGAGGAGTTTATTTAATCTATTTATGACCGCCGGACCATCTCCTCTTCCTTAATAATGCAACAGTCAACTATTAAGTATTTAATACAAAAATACAGAGTATTAAATAGCCATAGTAAAAATAATGAAGAACTAAAAATTTATATACATATTTACAGTAGTATCTATTTACAATTTTATGGGGACTGGATGGATAAGAAATGATTGAACAAGCGGGATTTAAAGGAAGAAATACCTTTTCTACGGTACTAAATACTGTTTCTTATACCTATTGTTATCTGGTTCTTTTCTTGGTCCCGATGAAGGCCTGAACGTCGGACTGAAACATCAGCGATTGTGAAAATAGATACGATTATTTATTTTGACTCCAACCATCCTTCTCTTCAATTATTCACTACAGTCAACCATCAACCCACAATTAAAAGATATAAGCTTAAATAATTAAATAAATTAATAAAAAACACAATTAAATGAAAGATTCTTGCCTTCTTTTTTTACTAAATCGTTAAAAAAATACTACCTATACGTCGTCGATGTTTCTTGTTTAAATTCTACAATCAGGGAAATAAATGCAATTTATTTTTCTATATAAATGTATTTTCCCACTAATATTTATTTTAATTATTAATTTGCCACATAAAGCACTTGGTAACATCTCTAGAACTTCAGACGAAATAGAAATTTAACTTAATGTTTGAGCTTGAAATATTACTGGGTACATTTGTCGGGGCACACTAGTATTGCAGGTAGTGTTCCAAAGTTAAAGATGGAAAGTTTCACAAAATGATTCAGAACGATCCAAAATTTCACAATTTTAAGATCTGTTCTTTAATTAATTGCACTCATCAGCAACTAAATTATGTTTCTAATAAAACTCAATGACGTTATCTAAGCGCATTCGTTAAACAGGCCAACAGTAGTTTTGATGCCGGCGTATTTGGAATTGATTTCATATGAATTTGTTGCCCTGAATTCAAAAATGACATAAGTTTTTGCCTAGGTCAAATTTTAAGATATAACACTTCCCATTCTATAAGGTCATATCCACGAATCAAATCTAAAAATTAAAAATGAAATCTTTATTATTAAATTACACAAATATTATTATGATATATATATATATATATATATATATATATATATATATATATATATGTATATATAAAACGTGTACCACTACAACTTATGAAGGGTCCTGGGTTCAATACTATGTAAGGAACAAGGAACTACTGTTTCTTAGTCAAAGATTGTACAAGGAGATGATATTATAGAGATCACGCTCAACTACCAGGTTTTTCCCATAATTAATTAAGAGTATTTATTCAGCGGAGGCTGGGTATGCTCCAGAAGTGTCTCCCAACATGCTTTGATCTATGGCCAATGAAACAAACTAAATAATTACCTGGGAACTTGAGGTTTGGAAATCAGTTTTTCTATCCAATGAGCTAACCCATTCCCATTATTAGTATATACTAATATTATTATAAAGGGTATCCCGTAAGTAGAGATTAATATTTTAAAGGTTGATAATAAACATCATGATCTACAAAAAAGTTCATATCAACAATTGCCCAATTTCCATCAGAAAAGTAGAAAATTTAAGATTAGTCTTTTTTTAAGCGAGTCACATTTTTTATTGAATAGGAAGTGATAACTTAAAAAATATTTTATTTAAGTAATTTTATTGCTCCATAGTAAACTAGACAAAATTTAAGTTAAAATAAAGTAGAGTTTGTTATTGTTAAAACTATTTGAAGAGGACTATTGGACGGAAAAACACAGCTATTTCATTTTAAAAAAAAAATCATAAATTATTTTGGATTTTTTCAACATCTTTTAACTGAACTACATTTACAAAAACTTCCTTATTTAATAAGATTCAAGTCCATATTAATTCAGTTGAGGTTTCTTTGGAAAAATATTGAGATTCATCTCAAGTTGTGTAAAGAAACGTTTCCTATCCAGTCACCTTAAAGTACCCATGTTTTCTGCAAAACTGACTATAATTAACTGTTGCAAAGCTTTTATTTCTTGTTTTTTCATGATATGGGATGTATTTTAATAAACATAGTTGCCTAAAAACACATTTTACTAACAAAAATTTAAAAAAAATGATTTTTCATGTGAGGTGGTTGTGGGTTTTTTTTTTATAATGTCTATTCTCAATATAAATATATACTAATACATATTATAAACTGGCACAGGTATGTTTACACTTAAACTATTAGAACTATGTAATCCTTATACATTTTTTCATTTGTTTAATATTGTTACTCTTAAAATATTATCCTACTTATCATTTCAATCTATTACAATTGTCTGTATTATTAACATTATTTGGCTAACCATTGTATGTTATCTAACTATGTTATGTCTATATTGATTGCCACCTCTTGCTTATATTCATTTCATTACTAACCAATAGTCACATATTTGTAACAATAAGTAATAACGCAAATCTTGAATAATTTAATCAGCAAATTATTGTCATTCTACAAACAGAAATGTTAACTCCCTTCTCTACTCTGACTATGTTTTTGCTATCTGAAAAGCACACCTGGGTAATCCTTCCCCGACCCTTTTAATTACCTACCAATGTGTCAGTACTTGAATACCTTCAGTGCTCAAAACACGGTTGGTAAGAGAAAATATTACATTTATTATAAATTGATTACATACATTATTTTTAGTTTGTATAACTTTTTACATATTTCATTTATCATCAATTACTATATTTTTTATTATTAACCATTATCCATCGTATAATATTATATCTCTGATAATATAATATAAGTTCCTTACTTTGTTACAGTTAAGTTACAAATCCTAAAACTTGGCTTTATCTACGCTCTATTGCTAACTTTGTTATCGTTATTTTATATTTTGGATTGGGTAATTAGTCAACTCATTAATTATCAGGATGAAACATGTCAGGATTTACAGTTGAGAAATATCAGCTAACCTTATAAAAATTCTTGACTATAAATCCTGACAATTTTGCTTTATCTTATTTTATATTTCCTTTAAGTTTATTCTACCTGCTTTATTTTACATTAAGTTTATTCTATGTACATGTTTTTAGACTATACCTTTCACCTACATATTATTTTTTTTTTAATGTTAATAGTTTCTTATACCCATTGTTATCTGGTTTCTTCACAGCCCTTATGAAGGAGTGAACTTTGGGCCGATCAGTTGGCAAAAAATAAATATAATTTATTTTTACATTTTGTTTTTATTGAACACCCCAACCAACCTCCTCTTCAATTATTCTATTAACAGTTTCACAACGATAAGAATCATTAAAATATTGTAAATGATCGGGTAAAATAATAATTAAAATAATGAATATTAAGAGGACACTGCAATGAGCTTAAAGATCTAAACAGTACAGCTACTTTCACATAAGAACAAGAGCCTATGTCACATTCTGTACAAACATAAACAAAATAATGCAACACATTTATGATACAAGAAAAAGGAAAGTCAATGATTTTCTAATAAAGATGTAACTTTCCAAATAAAACTACAAAAAAGTCTTAATTTAGGATGAATCAAAATATAATAGGTAAATGGTACGATAGTAATTAAATGGATTTTAAATCAGCAATGAAATCTTAGTTTGTGATTGTACTAATTATTTATTGTCTGCAATATTATTTTAAGTTGATCAAATGATTATGCAATGAGTACAGAACAATATTTGTGTTAAGAAAAAAATATTTTAATTTGAAGTTGAAACATGAACTACAAAGCCATGTGACTATAACCAAAAACATGCCATAACAGTTATGCCCTGTTATCATTAGATGTTAGATAGCAAATTTCCATACTGTGAAACAAAATATGTTCTTTGAAAACAAGCTTTAATAACATTTATATTAAGTATTCAATTAACATTGATAATAATTTTCAATAACCAGCTTCACTAATAAGTTTAATGTTAAATTATACATTTTTGTTTATAAGCCATGCCTCAAATATATTCTGAAAAATTAGATATAATTTGTACATTGTCTTATATCTCTAAGATAGTAAGCAAATATTGACTAAGACTATGTTTATATTCAACTTGAGAGTTACAATAGAATTTGTAAGTTCTATAAGCTCCCTGGTTTCACAAGCCCTTATACTTCATAAATAATATAAACACGTTGTTAAAAATAAATTAAAGCAGCTACTAAGTCCATATTAATTTTGTGCACAAATAAATTAAAATATATGAATGAATTGGTCTGAAATATTTGGGGTAATATAAAAATTATATTATTTAATTTATTAAGTTTGAATGAATATACCTGAAGATGGTTATTATCCAATACATTAGGAAGATAACACAATTAAATGATTGCCAATGTTTGTAACAGCTTTTGTTGAATAATAAGTCCTTCGTCTTAAATTTGATAGTATTAATAACACTATGATAATTTATGCATGAAATAAAATTATCAGGAATTTCTTTAACAAGTTAGCCAAATCACCAATAAAGTTTTGACCCAAACCATGTGGGTCATCATCAGTGTTATGTATGTTATCAGAAAAGAGAACAAAATGCAATAAAGAAACCAGTGGCAAAGAAGAAACACCAAAATGTTGTGGAGAAACTAGTATAACTAGTAAGAAGGATCAGCAATATGTGAAAAATTCTGTAGTAAAAGCGGATATAGGTCAAACTGAGTTGTAAGTCCAGTGATATCATAAAGAGTGGTGTAATGGTCTGAGAGAAGAGGGCTCATATTTCTGATGTTTTGAGTAGATCACAATATTTAAATACTTTAGAGATGGATAAGTAGTTGACAGACGGAACAAAAATGTGAGAACTGCCGTTAAAATTTCTTTAAAGAGTCAGCGGATATTTAATAAGTTACTCATAATATTCTAAAACATTGTCAATTTAGTATGATTTCTGGCACTTAATTGAATTAGATCCCCTAAATTTGGACTGAATATGAATGAATAACTTACCAAGTTAACCTACCATAAATCCTTAACTGATCAATAATATTAAAAACTGAAAGAAAAATTGATGGTGGTCCAGAATTCATAAATTGTAAAATAGGATAGTTTTAAGCATAACAAACTTCCAAACCATAATCAATTAAGCAACATGTTGCAATTTAAGAGAAAAATGATGATTCAATAAACAAATTGTTATTTCTCAACACAGAAAAGCCAACGTAGCATTCTATTGAATAGTTGGCAAGGAAGGTTCACAATTTTGAAAAAAAAATCGACAATTACATAATTTTAAAATTTAAATTAACACAAAAATTACAAAGCAGGTCATAAACTAGCTGTAGGTAGAGAACGAAACTAATTCTAACAGTATGGCAAATTGATATATACACAAATTTAATTTAATCACCACTACAAAATTAAATTTAACTACTAGTTTCAAATTGTTGAGGGAACAGTTATGGTTCGAAAAAAAGATCAACTACAAGTCGAAATATTTAATAAAAGCTCGAATAGACATTGAATGGTTTCTAAAGTAGCTGAAATATAATAATACGTTTATGAATAATATTAATCTTAGGACTATATAAAGTAAAAATGTATTTTTATTATTATTGAGGCAAAAGAACTACTCCTCGAGGAACTACTTTTACCCCCACTACATGCCAACGGGGCGATAGGTAGGAGTAGTGCGCATGTTGCAGTCGTCTGTCTTCCTCTTTCTGTCCTGGCATTGGGAGGTGAGTGAACGTCTGCTGTTCTTTCTTAGTATCTTACTTTTATCTGTAATTATCCTAGTCGTTGTTATCCATCCATACTTTAAGTTAACGTATACCCTTTTACTTATAATTAAAGAATTATATGAGATTATTTTAGGCTGGTATATAATATTTATAATTGTATTTGAGTCAAGTTACATGGCTGATACATGACTTATGCCGGCTCGATTCAATGTGCTTCGGAACTGCATACAACTTCTGTTTCTCTTAACATTGGTTTGGTTTATTGCTCTTATTGATATCAGATAAGAAAATTGTTAGCTCTATTTGTTGGGTTAAATTCTAGGTTAATAACGGTAAATTATGGACACCACGTTTTAACTGTCGCCATTTTGCATTTTCTTCGTATTGATTTGTTTCAACTGATATTGTACAATCAAGTTTTTAACGAGTTTATTATTTAAAAAGGCCTGTTAAAAGTTCATTAATCCTTAAATGTTAATATAGTCTTTATTCTAGAACATTAGGTCCGATTTTGTAACTTTACCTGACCTCACTAGCTGTTCTCAATTTAAGATATATCACCCTCAGATGTTCTGTAAAATTCATTTAGATTTATTGTTAAGATTGAATTTGCTTTTACTGATGTCATACTAATTAATAACAGTTACATATGGTATGGTTTTGAGTCAGGTCTGGTGAATCATTTTGAATTCAAACTAGCAATATTGCACTTATATGCAAGTTTGAATACTAATTTTGGCCTTTTTTATACCTTTTTAGGAATCAAACAGTATGTTAGGTTTTATAGGGTTGAATGTTTGTTAGGTGCTTATAATTATTTATACTAATTTACTTTTTTTTTATAGATTTCTTAACGGTCATTGTTATATAAACTGCTAAAAAATGCCCAAAGAAAAGATTCATATTAACATCGTCGTCATTGGACACGTAGATTCAGGTAAATCTACTACAACTGGCCATCTCATTTACAAATGTGGTGGTATCGATAAACGTACTATCGAAAAGTTCGAGAAAGAGGCTCAAGAGGTGATTTATTTATTTATATTTTTTTACATGTCCTATGCAATGCTTTCTACGCACATAATTATACTATTAAATTTGATTGTAGATGGGCAAAGGATCTTTCAAATATGCCTGGGTATTAGATAAGCTTAAAGCTGAACGTGAACGTGGTATCACAATCGATATTGCTTTGTGGAAATTCGAGACTGCTAAATACTATGTCACAATTATTGATGCCCCTGGTCACAGAGATTTCATCAAAAACATGATTACAGGGACATCACAGGTAAGCTGTAATTAAAATAATTATGAAATATCATCTATTATTAATATTATTAGAACACAGTCCCTGATGTAACCTTAGCTATTATAGCATGGTTGCCATTTAATTACTGTGGAGATCAACTTCTATCCGCTATGTCTGCTTGCGCCTATGCCTTGCAGATACGAAAGTTATAAGAGACAATTCGAAAAAAAAAAAAAAAAAAAATGTTTGCCTCTTAAAGCAAATTTTATGTTTTTAAAAGAATTTTACATGGTTAACTATAATTGACTCAGGATATGATGTTGCCTGATGAAACATTACATTAGAATTTAAATTTTGACTATGTAAGGGCTCAGTTTGGTATATTGCTTTATATGGAGTTGTGATTTATTTTTACTTGCAATACTCTCTTCATAATGTGAAGTATTTCCCTGTTCAATGTTTTAATTTTTTGAAAGGCAAATATTTGAACTCTTTTACTAAATGTAAGATAACAAACATGGGCACTAGTCCAGTTTATTGTGGCATGGATTTAATTATTTAAATTTTGTTTATATATATTGATTAATCTTACATTCTCTTTAACTTATTTAAATTCTTTTCTTTTTGATTGGTGTCAAGTGTTGGTTAGTATAATTCCTAATAATATGGAAGAGAAAAAAAATCAACTAGTACCTAACAGATTGTATAGTACAAACTCCGATGGTTAAAATTGTGAATTTAATTATTTCACAAAACTTATCCCAAATTGATTAACTGTTAATATAATACTAATTATTGAAACGAAGTTGTGGCTTTGCAGCTTAATTTTTCATATCTGGATTGGATATATATGTTCCAGTTAGCTAATTCAGTCTTAGGTTGTCATTTCTTATTAAGTTAACAGTACTTAAATCTTTCCAGTGAATTTAATTTTAGGTATTAAGTTAAGTATTGTAAGCTTATTTACATTTTTCTCAATTTCTTTATTGTCAGTCTATAGTTAATCATTCTCAAATATATAAAAGTCTATACTACACCTGAGATATATTGGTTGTAATTAAACAAAAATTATTTAAGTTATGAGCTAAAATTATTCTTTGTTCAAGAGTGATTAATTATTTTTATTATTTGTTATAGGCCGATTGTGCTGTGTTGATCGTTGCCGCAGGTACTGGTGAGTTTGAAGCTGGTATATCTAAGAATGGTCAGACTCGTGAGCACGCACTTCTTGCCTTCACTCTTGGTGTAAAGCAATTGATTGTTGGAGTTAACAAAATGGACTCAACTGAACCAGCTTATTCAGAGGTAAGGCCAAATTTAGCATTTGTTTAATAATGCCTTTTAAATTATTGTTGCTATGAGTAATTAATATTTAAAATACTTTACAGCCCAGGTTCGAGGAAATCAAGAAAGAAGTATCGTCATACATCAAAAAGATTGGTTATAATCCAGCTTCTGTTGCCTTCGTTCCTATTTCTGGTTGGCATGGAGATAACATGCTTGAACCATCTGACAAGATGCCATGGTTCAAGGGGTGGGCTATTGAAAGGAAAGAAGGCAAAGCCGACGGTAAATGCCTTATTGAAGCCCTTGATGCCATCTTACCTCCTAGCAGGCCAACCGATAAGGCCCTTAGGCTTCCACTCCAGGTTAGCATGTTATAAATCTTATCTCTTTATGATGATCAATTTTGAAATACATGTTTGCTTTGTTTTTATTTATTTATATATATATATGTATGTATATTAAGTTTAATAAATGATTATTGATCTTCCAATAGGACGTATACAAGATTGGTGGTATTGGAACAGTGCCAGTAGGACGAGTAGAGACTGGTTTATTGAAACCAGGTATGGTTGTCACTTTTGCTCCAGTCAATCTTACAACTGAAGTAAAGTCTGTTGAAATGCACCACGAAGCTCTCCAAGAAGCTGTTCCTGGTGATAATGTAGGTTTCAATGTCAAGAACGTTTCGGTCAAAGAATTGCGACGAGGTTATGTTGCTGGTGACTCCAAAAACAATCCACCCAAGGCTGCTGCTGACTTCACTGCCCAGGTGAGTGCACTAACTTTGTTTTATCAAACTTAATTGTACTCTTTCAATGTTCATTAGAATATATTTTTGCATGCGTTTGTGATATCTATATGATAGATTGTGTAATTTTATTTTGCAGGTCATCGTTTTAAATCATCCTGGTCAGATTTCCAATGGATATACTCCTGTACTTGACTGTCACACCGCCCATATTGCCTGCAAATTCGCCGAGATCAAAGAAAAGTGCGACCGTCGTACTGGTATATAAACATTCATAACTTATAGTGGTTAATATATTCATTATTTAAACACAGTCCAGCTCCAGATGAAGATAGTTCTTCTTCTGGCGTTCTAAACTGTGAAGAGTAATGTGTAGGTTCATGAATGTTGTGCTATGTATTAGTATGCCATAATGTGCCCTGCCCTACATTAAGACCTAGTTATCTATTTCTGGTATTGTTTAGTTACGTATGAAATTATTTATGAAACCACTTGATAAATGTTTTCAGTTTAAAATATAAAAATCCACTTCAAACACAAATTTAAATTGTTTTACATGCAATTGCAGAACAAATGTTAATTATTTCTTGTTCTTCTAAGAGTAGTTTCTTTAATAAATTTTTTTAAATTATATTTATATAATTTTGACAAGCAATGTGTTACTAGTAATAGAGGTCTAATATTTATTATCTTTTTCTGTTTTACAGGTAAATCTACTGAAAGCAACCCAAAATCCATCAAGTCTGGTGATGCTGCCATCATCAACTTGGTCCCAACCAAACCAATGTGCGTAGAATCATTCCAGGAGTTCCCACCATTAGGTCGTTTTGCTGTAAGAGACATGAGGCAAACTGTTGCTGTCGGCGTCATCAAGTCGGTAATCAACAAAGATATAACAACGGGTAAAGTAACAAAGGCCGCCGAGAAGGCACAGAAGAAGAAATAACTAGGTGTCGTCATCAGATCAGCAATAGACAGGCCAGAACAGCCACCGCCATCATTATCAGAATCAGGAAGCTATTACTTAAAACAATTATCATGTCGCTTTTCTCCCCATCAGCAGCACCTATCCAAGTGGCTCCTGCAGCCGTGTTTCCATCGTAAGGAGTTCCGGAGGAAAAGCGGCTACATGACCTTCACTTCTCTGAAACCTTTCCTTATATATGTTTAATCTATATTATTATATATATAGTATAGCATTATAATTAATTCTACTTAAATACAGTTTTTTAAAACTTACGAGGAAGGCTTTACGATTTGTTTTTTCTATTCTTTTTTATTTTTAGAAGAGGAACGCGCGTCATGTGAATAGCATGTTATTTTCATTTTATTTTATTTGACAGATATTTAATTTATATTCGAGAATTTTTAAGTCAACTTTTTGTTTTGTGAAGCAGCGGTAATTTCTGTATAGATGGTGATAACAATAAATGCTTCATGACACTGAATATTTTTTGTTTTATACCTTTTCCCATGTGTGTCATAAAAATTTGATGAAGTTTAATAACTGAAATATTAATAGCAGCAGCCCATGTTTTTAATATAACAAATCTTTTATTAATAACTATAATAATTATAGCAGCAGCCCAGGTTTTTAATATAACAAATCTTTTATTAATAACTAAAATAATTCTAGCAGCAGCCCAGGTTTTTAATATAACAAATCTTTTATTAATAACTAAAATAATTCTAGCAGCAGCCCCCATGTTTTTAATATAACAGATCTTATATTAATAACTTAAATAATTCTAGCAGCAGCTCATGTTTTTAATATAACAAATCTTTTATTAATAACTAAAATAATTCTAGCAGCAGCCCAGGTTTTTAATATAACAAATCTTTTATTAATAACTAAAATAATTCTAGCAGCAGCCCCCATGTTTTTAATATAACAAATCTTATATTAATAACTTAAATAATTCTAGCAGCAGCTCATGTTTTTAATATAACAAATCTTTTATTAATAACTAAATTCTAGCAGCAGCCCAGGTTTTTAATATAACAAATCTTTTATTAATAACTAAAATAATTCTAGCAGCAGCCCCCATGTTTTTAATATAACAGATCTTATATTAATAACTTAAATAATTCTAGCAGCAGCCCAGGTTTTTAATATAACAAATCTTTTATTAATTAATAACTAGAATAATTATAGCAGCAGCCCAGGTTTTTAATATAACTAATCTTTTATTAATAACTAAAATAATTCTAGCAGCAGCCCCCATGTTTTTAATATAACAGATCTTATATTAATAACTTAAATAATTCTAGCAGCAGCTCATGTTTTTAATATAACAAATCTTTTATTAATAACTAAAATAATTCTAGCAGCAGCCCCCATGTTTTTAATATAACAGATCTTATATTAATAACTTAAATAATTCTAGCAGCAGCCCAGGTTTTTAATATAACAAATCTTTTATTAATTAATAACTAGAATAATTATAGCAGCAGCCCAGGTTTTTAATATAACAAATCTTTTATTAATAACTAAAATAATTCTAGCAGCAGCCCCCATGTTTTTAATATAACAGATCTTTTATTAATAACTAAAATAATTCTAGCAGCAGCCCAGGTTTTTAATATAACAAATCTTTTATTAATTAATAACTAGAATAATTATAGCAGCAGCCCAGGTTTTTAATATTACAAATCTTTTATTTACTTCAGTGCAATTTAAATGGTTAATATTTAAAACCTGATTAGGTGTAAAGAGGCTATAATAATTATTTATGGGCATGTGGTATTAATTATATAATTGTATGGTAGCATTTTATATTTATAAAAAAAATTGGGATTAAACCAAGAGCAAGAAATTCGGCTAACTGTATAAAAAAACATGAATTTATTGTGTGTAAACCATTTCATTATTTTCGTTTCTTATTAATTTGTCATTTGATGACCATATGCTGTACAAATTTTTCGCAGGGGCCTTCTAGTTAAAATTAAACCAAGAGCAAGAAATTCAGGTAATTGTATAACAAGCATGAATTTATTGTGTGTAGTAACCAAGATTTAAATAATAGGCAAGGGTGTTATACTTACAGTTCATTAATGATGAGGAATACTAAAAATCTGGTGTGGTATGCGCATCACACAATTTTCACAAGTGCCCTTATATTTGCAAATTTTGATATTTATATCTGTTCTCTATGCCATTTAATAATAAGAATAGCATTTATGAAAACCAAATGTGTATAGTTATATAATATGGAGTCCATATTATATAAAGCTCATGTGGTGCACTCCTTATTCCTTTAGTTCTTCAATTACGATTCTGTTGTGATCTCTTATTTCTCCTTTTGTTAATTAAAAAGTTCTTTCATATTTTCTACTAGAAATTAATATGAAATGGTGGATAGTTTCAAATAAAAAAGATTTAAAGGGATTTCTGGAAAGCTGATATTGAAAATTAGCCATTTAAGCCCTAACATCATCTGAATAAAAACTACACTTAATTTAAAACTGTTTAATTTTACAGTGACTTGATGTCTAGAAAATCACAAAAATGTGTAAGTGCCACTTCTGGTTAGCCGATTTTAATGGAAATGGTGCTGTAATATCCCTAGCATGTAAAAACCTTAAATATGCAGTTTCACTTACATTTGAGCTTGACTATTTTGCTAACAGAATCTAGACCATTAATTTGGTATTTAGACTCAAAATGTGTATTTCCTTCTAAATTTACGAAGTAGAAAATATACAGAGGTCCATTATCAACATAACCTATTAAAATTTTATGTAATATCTTTAGGTAATTATTTATTCATAGATTTTAATTTAATTTTCAAAAGGAAATATGATCATAGTGATATGCTGTGGTGCTCAGGATTTTTTTCTTGAGATCAGAAAACTTATTTCTGAACCAAATTCACAATGCTTTGAAATGTTTCTCACAGGAGTGCAGTTTATCTAGATCAAAGGAAATGCCAATTTGTTTTATATGAAGCTTTTTGGTATTGTGAAACTCTTCTGACCTTGAGCAGGGCATCCTCTTATTAAAACAAGATAATGGTATAAGAGTATCCAATTATGTGATAAGTGTACTTATTGTAAACCACTTCGGCTTCCTCACTACTACCTAAGGTAGGGATAGGTCCTTACAGATTTTTTGTGTACCTGTTCCATTCCCCAAGTGGAACTGTTACCATATATCAGTTACTTCATCATTCACTTTAGCTTCCTCACTACTACCTAAAGTAGGGATGGGTCCTTAAAAGATTTTTTTGTGTACCTGTTCCATTCCCCAAGTGGAACTGCTACTTTATCATTCACTTTAGCTTCTTCACTACTACCTAAGGTAGAGATGGGTCCTTACAGATTTTTTGTATACCTGTTCCATTACCCAAGTGGAACTGTTACCATATATCAGCTACTTTATCATTCACTTTAGCTTCCTCACTACTACCTAAGGTAGGGATGGGTCCTTACAGATTGTTTGTGTACCTGTTCCATTCCCCAAGTGAAACTGTTACCATGTCAGTTACATTATCATTCACTTTAGCTTCCTCACTACCTAAGGTAGGGATGGGTCCTTACAGATTGTTTGTGTACCTGTTCCATTCCCCAAGTGGAACTGTTACATTATCATTCACTTTAGCTTCCTCACTACCTAAGGTAGAGATGGGTCCTTACAGATTTTTTGTATACCTGTTCCATTACCCAAGTGGAACTGTTACCATATATCAGCTACTTTATCATTCAGTTTAGCTTCCTCACTACTACCTAAGGTAGAGATTGGTCCTTACAGATTTTTTGTGTACCTGTTCCATTCCCCCAGTGGAACTGTTACCATGTCAGTTACTTTATCATTCACTTTAGCTTCCTCACTACTACCTAAGGTAGGGATGGGTCCTTACAGATTGTTTGTGTACCTATTCCATTCCCCAAGTGGAACTGTTACCATGTCAGTTACATTATCATTCACTTTAGCTTCCTCACTACCTAAGGTAGGGATGGGTCCTTACAGATTTTTTATATACCTGTTCCATTCCTCAAATGGAACTGTTACCGTATATCAGTTACTTCATTCACTTAAGCTTCCTCCCTTCTACCTAAGGCAAAGTCAATAAAACTACCAGGTTCGCTCACTCAGAAATGCGTGGTGGGGGAACTTGAAACATGACATAAGGAATAGACTGGGAGACCAACCTATTACTCATTCAAGCCTATCAACGAAGGCTTATTTCAACATTATATGCTTTTTTTTGTTTTCTGGTTCAATTTATTGTGAAGAATACTTTTCTATGTTATTGACATTTGATTGAAGATAATTTCAAGCAGATAAATAAATAAATACGGCTATCAATCTAGAATAAAATGTTATGAAAATTACAGGCCAGACCTGAAACGAAAAGAATGAAATTGATATTAAGATTATTTTTAAATTCTTTATTCCAAAATCTCTGTAAATAATATATTACATAAATAAAAAACTAAGATTTATATATATTTAGAGAACATTTTAGCACAATGTTTGTGTAATTTTGTTTGTAGATCTCCTGGGTATTTCTTTTAATATTATAACGATATTATAATAATGTTACGAGGGTGAAGATCTTTTTCAGGATTTGCAGTCAAAATTTCTTTAAATAAATAAACAAATTTTACTGCAAATTCTGATAATTTATTTTCACCTTATAATCTTAACAGTCAACTACGTATCCGTCTCTAAAATAATATTATAACGAGTATTTATTTTTAATAACATGTTACAGTGAATTCGTGTGTTCTTATTAGTATTTCTCATAATAACATAATTTTTAATAGAATCATAATAGTGGTTAAATAGTTGACTTTCGTGAATAATGAGGAGAAGAATAGTTGGGGTGATCAGTCAAATAAGAAGGCAAAATAAATGATAATATTTATTTTGTCATTTGCCGACGTTTCGACCTGAAGTTCAGGGCTAAGAAAAGAACCAGATAACAAGGTATGAGAAACATA